TTGTTCTTGAACTTGTTGAGTCGTGCGACGTTCTCAGACATTTTCAGAAAGGTTATTAGGAACCGTTTGCAGTCAGGAAATAGTCTGGTTATGGTTCAACGCCTGAAAAGAAAAACGTTTACTTTTTATACCGTTTTCGCTGAACTTGACCACCGGATATTCCATCCGGGTCCTGGCAACCACCGATTTAAGCCTGCTGTGGTTTTTCACGACAACACACCGCTTTAAAACTTTAAATTAATCAACCAAAGGGTCAGTTAAGTAAGGTATTTAAGTTAAAATAACATACAAATGAATAAATATTTAAAAAAATAAGTGAATAAGGTTAAAAAAAATCAAGCTAAGCGCCAATAGATACCTACCTCGTTCTCGATTAGAAGCAGTGTCACCCAGAAAATATCGGACAGACCTTTAAATTCCTGCACACAGGCCTCTGATTGGACCATTTGAGCCGAAGCGTCCCTCCACGGGCGTTCATTGGTCGTTTTGAAAAATATCTCATGCGTCACAGGATATAGCGTCACTTCCCGAGAGTATCGCGAGATGTTAACTGTATCAATGCGCTGATCCAGGATCAGTTGGGTTAGAATGCAGCCGTTGGTGGAACTGAGAGCAAACTGTTCCAGGATCGAGAAGCTCGACTCAAACGTTTAAAATTCTCTAACAGGAAGTGATTTAATGAAGAACACCCCTCTCTTTTCTCAAGTTTAGCATGGCCCTTTACTTTTGTTTTAAATTAATATCCCAATTTATGGAAAGTTATAGTGTTGATTTCCTTTAAAATTAAACCAACTTTATATAGTGTCTCTTTGAAGACAAACTTTGATTAGTTGACTTTATTGATTTCACAGTGGAGAAATTTTCTCGCTAAAATAGTCAAAGGAGAAGAAGAATGTATGGGATATATACAGTGCGTCCACATATGACTGCTTTATTTTTTTATTTTTTTTTATAGTAGCAATATTATGCACAGTTATTGTATAGGGTGTTTACATATATATATATATATATATATATATATATATATATATATATATATATATATATATACATACAGTACAGTAACTGGTTTAGTGCTCTGCATTACAGTCACTCACCCAGTCACATACACATAATACACATAATCTAAGAAAATATGTTTTTATTAGATGTAAACCATTGAAATGGAAGCTGGCCTTTTATATTTTAAACAAATAAAAATAAATATTTAACCTTCATGGTCTGATATAATTCAACTTTTCTGGGCTTTCTGCAACAGACTTTACAATGCGACACTACTACTACCGTATGGAGGACCAACTCTGCCATATTTGAAAATGAATACAGAAATAAATAAATGAGCATACAATTAATTGCCCATGAAAATACAATAAACTAATAAATGTAGGAATAAATTAAACTATAAAGTGAGACATAAATGTATATAACTCTTTTAATTAGCTTCTTTATTTATTCGCCTTTGTAAAAATTACCTTATTTATTTATTGTCGATTATAATCTTCAACTTTACATATTTGTTACTTATTTTTTTAAGTATTTATTTATGTGCATGATATATTTTTGTCTGTCCTTCCCTTTTTTTTTTTACCCTATTTATTTCTTTAACGCTATTTTTTTCTGCCTGTCATATTTACATTTCTGTCTGCATTTCTGCCTCATTATGCAAATGAGGAGAAGGTGTGTCTTAAGGGCTCATCTTCTGCCCATTGGTTGGCGGCACATCTTCTTAACTCACAGAGCTCAGAGTTTTAAGTTAAAAGTTCTCTTTTTGGTTGCTGTTGTTCAATAAAAGCACGTTTTAAGATCACTATAGGCAAGAACATTATACTTTTAAGCGTCACTATATGGCCCATTTACGGATTTTATGCGTAATTTAAAGAAATGTGCACAAATAAAATGAATATCAGCAACTTGGAAAATAGTGAAAAGCACAACTTAAATATGGTCCATTCTTCAGAAACCAGAAGAACCTTCAGAATATGGACCAGAAAGCCCTTTACCACAGCTGCAGAAAAAGCAATAAAAATCTTCAGAAGCAGCCGGTCTGCATCTGGACAGAAAAACATCAGCAAAAAAAACTCCCAGTGGAGGACTTCACATACAGTATCTCATTACATTGAGATACTATCTCATCATTTTGAGTTTTGAGTCAATTAGATATTTCTTATGAGGTCAATATACATTTAAAATGTAGGAATTTGAACTCAAGAAAAACTGTTAAATTCATCTGTAAAAATTAGAGCATTTTTCTATTTGTTGTGGAAAAAAAAAACATTTGACAGATGAAAACTGGGATCCTATCTCAATCCTACTGAAGCTATCACCTTATTGTTTTTGAATAATTAGTTAAACAGAATTTGTAATGGAAACAATGAAATAGATCCAGATTACCTATCAGTAATCATGTCTGTTTCAGCGCATATCATCATTAGAATTTCTTTTAAGTATTATGTCTTCAGTTCAGGGGCCGTAACAGGGGCCAGGACGTGATCTACAGGGGCACTGGCCCTAGAACCGGCCACGGTGGGGAATAATGACACAGTGGCAAGGTGCACTGTATGCTGAAGTCCCATGAAAAACAGAAAGCACAACTGATGTTCAAGGCTACAAGATTGAAAGTATTGAAAATAAAAGACCAATATTGTTCTGTTTTGTGTTTAAGAAATTACTGTTAGTTAATAAACAGTTGTTGAAAAGTTGCTGGCCTTAAGTGTGTATGTATGGGGCATGGTGTGGGTCTGTCGTCTCCGGGGGGCGGGCGGTTGGGAGATAAGCATCTCCCTGAAATGAGTTTTTGAAACTTGGGATATCTGGTAATGATGATAAGATAAACCAACCAACCCTTTGATGAATATGATAAAATAACATAACCACAATAAAAATATGTTGGTTAATGTTTCATGGTAAAGTTAGTTTAGTAAACACAGGTGCTGCTACCCATAAACTTCATGCTAGCACTAGTGGCTAATGATGATTTTTTTGTAGCCTACACTGAGTGGTTCTAATGGTTCATTTTGTCATTTGCATCCCTTTTTTACACAATGAGTGCACAGTAGTCCAATGTTACCGTACAGTATCTGGAAGACTGAATAGATCTGATGAGCAACTTACAATAACTTCTTATGATGATATAATGTGATAATATGTGTGATTGACTGTGACCTTTCTCTCTCACTCTCCTTGATCTAAGAATTGTTGCTGTGCTGTGGAGGAGTTTACATTTTACAGTGCTAACAAATTAAGATTTTGGAAGTATTTTAAGGGTCTACTCTCACTAATTTCCATTGACATGGCCTCAAGGTATTGCACAGTTGGTATACACAGTCAGTACACCAAAAAAATGTGGTGGGCCGTTTTTTTTTGTCCCAGTCCACCCCTGATCTGGGTTATTTTCAAAAGGTAAAGTGATATTTTATATATAATTTATAAATGATACAAGTTTTTAATACTAGTAATAAATAAATTCTGTCACTAAAGGATCATCCATAGATGATAAAGCTGGTATCATTTTACTTCACAAATTAAACATTCAGCAATAAAATCAGATTTCAAGAATACAGAATCCAACAAGGTTCAGTATTAGGATGTAAAACTCTTTATTGCTAAAAAAAAAATAAAATCGTTTTTTTAAATGCTTTAACTTAGGAAAAGGTTTAAAAATGTATCCTTTTGAAATTGAGAGGTGGAAATATTTCGGCCCATTTGATTACTAAGGTTATACCCAGAAGCTTCTCTAGTTTTTTTGGTCTTAACATTTTCATTTTTAGCATATTTTACCATGAACCTAATGTGAAATATTGGCCAAAAAGAAATCAAAATAAGGAAATATAATAAAAAATCATTATGAATTTTACTTAACACAACATCCAATGAGAACCACAGGAGAAATGCTTTGATTTACAGATTTAAAAAAATAAAACATTTTGACTTCTTTTTTTCCTAAATTTGATTTTTCTGCATTTTTATTTTCAGAGAGTAAAAAGAGAATAAACTAAAATGATTCGAACATTGGAAATAAACCAACAAATCAGTCTTTTAAGTTTTATTAAGTTTCATATACATCAATATTTCTTCAGCTGTAAAAAAAAAAAAAAAAAAAAATCAAGTGAAAACTCAATGATTTTTTACAAACAGGGCAGGAACCTTGAAATACATCGTTTTCATTCTTCCCAGTCAGTCACTACTGCAAGGCAAGTCATTTACAATAGCTTATTACCGTACTCTCAGTAGAATATTTATTGACGTTTAACCAAGAAGACTACTGATGGCCACATATTTAGTACTTTAGTACTTAAACTGCCTTTCATGCCACTTCAGAATAAACGATGAGTGGAAATGCATGAGGAGAAACATTGTTCCACTGCAACATCTGAATTCAGACACAAAACTGGAAACATGATGCTCAGATTATTTTATCTCCTTACTATTTAAAGAAACAAAACCACATGAAAAGTCTGAGGACTCCTTTTTTTATATATACAATGTTTATTGGGATAGAAAATAAGATGGGGGGGGGGGGGGGGGGGGGGGGGGGGGGGAATAAAGTACATGGAAACATGGGAGCTCGTTAAGAGTTTTCTCCGAGGTAAACTTCCATCCCAAACGCCTCTCTGCTCATGAGGACGGGGCCCCCCTTCCAGCTGAAAGGAGCCAAGGGCCCCCGCCTGAAGGGTCCCGTGAAAGCGGCGTCGCTGGCCGACCCAGTCACGCGGCACAGTTCGGTTGCGTAGGGGGGGTGGGCGGTGAAATAATGCCAGACTCTTGGCAAGTGCATTTTGTTTGCACAACGTGCGATGCTTTCTAAGAGGCTGAAGAAGACTGAAGCTTGTTGTTATGAGACCTACAGGATGTGAAGAAAGGGGAAGAGTTGAAAGCTCTTCAGTTTCTGTCATTAAAGCAGATAATAAAGATGAACCAACTGTTGGTTTACCTGCCAAGGAATGCCTTTAACAGTGAGGAACTTTCTTAATTGTGTTTTAAGGAACAGGAAGACACGCTTCTCACTTTTCACACCATTTTAGACTAATAAAATATTACTAATCTAAAATGACATTTTTCTTTTTTTTTTTTTTATTAAAAGGGTCACATACAGTCAGACAACCATTGTACATCGTAAAAGGTTGATAACATCCAATTAAAGGTGAAGTAACATACAAAATGTTTCATAAATATACCTCTATAATAAAATATGCAACTTTTTTATATACGACAGCTTCAACGCATCTGATTCAACTGAGATGTTTCAACAGAAATAAATACAAGCCTGGAAGTAAAATTGCATTTAAAACACTACGTAGGAAGCTTGATTGATCACTAAGGCCGGTACGCTAACATATCTAAAGACAAGATGATGATGTCAACATGGCAGCCAGTTTGCCGTCTTTCCTGTTCAAATGTGATAACTACTTATTCAGAAAGAAAAAAAAACAAGAAAACAAATAAAAATAAAAAAGCACATTTGGTGGTTGAGCTTCTGCAGGTTTTTTTTTTGCTCTTGAGTTTGCATTATTATTTTATTTTTTTTTTACTATTTCAGTGTCAACAGAGACCCCATCATCCAGTCCAGACTCCAGCTAGACTGGCACATTAAGAATCTGACAATCTGCAAGAAACAAAAGAAGAAGATGGGATGGCTTAAAACACAGGCATGCAGCACAGGTGGACACAAACGCACAGAGAAATGCAAAATGGCCGACGCTGCAGAGACGATCTGCATCCTGCAGAGAGAATGCTTTCAGATTTTGTTGCATTTTACCTTCAGGCCTCTGTGTTTTTATTGGGGTGTTATATGATAAAACAACATAGTAGAGACTTTGAAAAGGAAGATAATCAAGGAATAGTGATTTTAACCCTTGTATAAAATCCAGAGATACTGCCTTTCATGGTAGGAACATTAATCAAAGGGTTGAATGGGCAGATTTAATGTAAAATACTTAAAAGATTGATCAAAATCCTTTAAATTGGTCAAGAGTTGCTCTAACATGTTGCTGTATCAAATAAAATCCCAATAAAATAGTTTTAGTTGTAAAGCAACAAAATTCTGCAAAGCTGAAAAGTTTTAACTTTTTTTTTTTTATGGGCAAAGTAATGCAAGTCATGACTATAACAACATACAGTCTAAACAGTCAACAGCGTCAAACTACAAAACTCATGCTGGTGGTAAAGAAGTGAGGGGCTGACATAAAAACAGATGAAGTTACGAGGAAATAAAACATAAGAGTTTCTAAATAACCTTTTTTTTTTCTTTTTAAACAAACAGTAACCCTTTAAACCTGGTCTCACCTGCTCGCCTTAAAGCCTTTCAGCTTCTGTACAAAGAAGGCTTCCAGCACCTCGGCGCACTGAAAGAAGGGCGTGTCATTGGGGTTGTAGTAGCGGCAGTTGTCAAAGATTTTGGTCACGTCTGCCACAAACTCTGTGAGCTTCTGGTAATGTCGCTTTTGCAAACGCGTTTCCATTGTGGAAAAATCTGAGGGAGACGAATCAGAAGAGAAGAAAACATTAATTTCACGGCACTGAAAGAATCGGGGAAACGCAGCATCGAAAGAGTTCCTACCCATCGGCTCCTTGATCACACGATAATAATCGGGTGCATCATGAGGATCCACCGGTTCAAGAAAAGGCCAGGCCATCTTGTGAGACTGAAAGAGAAGCACAGAGAAGAAACAGTTATTAATGAGGAATGAAAATTAATTCCAAAACAGTAAAAAAAAACAATTCACTGGACTTTGTTTTTTCTCTAAATGTGCTGCAGCGGCTGGAAACATGCGTGTTTTGAAGGTGTGGTTTCCAGGGCTGGTCTGAAGGGAGAGGCATGGTTGTGTATTAGGGGTGTAAATCACATCCATCATGGCGATTCGATTCAGTATTGCTTTCCTGACCCAACGATTCGATTATTTTGGATACTCAAGAACACACCACGATACGATTCGATTAATTCGTTAAATTTTTTTTTTTAACACCTTACAGGCTTAGACAATGTTTCAAATTTGAAATCAATCAATGAAAGCTGTAATATCGTTATGCATTTTATTTGAGAAACAACAGCAAATAACAGAAGTAGAAAAGTTTTACTCCACCTATTCCTATTAAAACCTCATTCACTGAAAAATAATAATGCCCCTGCGTTATAGATTCTGAAAGGCCGTGCATCAAAGAATACTGCACAAAATCAGTGCAATGAGTGCAATGCAACACCTCGGCTCCAGACGTCCCCGCCCCCTCCAAAGACGCTCCGCTGCTCCTCTCCCAAATTGTAGCTGACCGCAGACAGACGGCTTGTTTTGTTTTTATGACCGAAATTGCAGAAAACAACTCATGAAGTTTGACCCGCTAGAAGAGCGAGCAGCGCGAGAACGATGGGACCCTTTTTCCACCTGGATCTCCGCTCTTTTTGGTCCTCATGTCCCTCCGCCGTCGGACTAAACTCGCCCCCACTTCCTCACCGCTTCGGCCGTATCTAGACCCATAGCGTGTAGCACAGACCACGCTTCAATATTGAGCATAAATCAAAAATGTCTGTGTCAAGCTCACTGTGACACACTGCTGTAAGAGTATAACCAGGAAGAGAGGTAGGAGGGCAAAATAGGTTTAGCGCCACCGCAGCACGGGAGGGAGAATTACGTCCAGGAGGAAATGAATAAAAATAGACCGGAGGAAAAAAAAAACATGAATCAATACTCTTGCGGATGTGTCGATGCATCGGATCGTCGGCTGTTGGATCGATGTATCGATCCAAAACGATTATTATTTACACCCCTGTTGTGTATGTTCAAAAATATAGCTTCCTGGAACCGTTTTTTCAAGATGTCCTACTGCACTTTAAGTCTGTGGAAATCATGTTGTACAAGAATGAAACTTTAAATCACTGTTTTTTTTTTTTAAGTGGAGCCATGAAGAAAATAACTTCCTGTTCCACTGGAATTACTTCAACCTGTACTTCTATTACAGCTTCTGTTTCCAAATAAGCATAAAAACATTTAAATTGAGCTTCACTTCTTTTGTTACAGAAAGAGTGAATAAGGTGCTGGATTAATTGAAAACCAGACTACTGAGGATAAAGCTGCTGAGGATAACACGTCCCCCGCAGTGTGACCCTGCCTTCAAATGGACTCTAATAAATAGGTGTCCACAGTAGGACACCGGTTTATTAGATCAGATTCATTTGTATTTATGCTAAAACAATCAAAGCTTTTCTTCCCACCTGAAAAATTTGCGATAGTCTGTGTTTATCACACAGAATCTCCGAAACAGGTTTGATGATTTTACATGATAGAAATATAAAAAGTTGGTTAGATTTAAGTTAATATTCTAATTGAGACTCTATCAGTAGCAGACAGTTGAATTAGAAAATCCCACCTACAAAGGATATGTGGTGTTTTATAGAGTTCAGACATTAATATCTACTGCTTACTCTGTTTCTCCGCTCAGGGAGGGCGGTCATACCTGTAGTGAACGTAATATTCTTTTCAAGCCCTCGTAGTCCCTGTCTGTGAGCGGCGAGAGGACCGTCATGGCATCTTCTGTGGACTGGCACTGCGGACACACGTAGACGTCGATGTGATTGGCTTCGCTCTGCAGGATGCCCACGCAGCGCCCGTGGTACCAGTTCTGGCAGCGGTCGCAGCCGATGTAAAACCTGTGGGTGAGGATGAGATCAGAGGCTGAGAACGCGGCTTTTTATGAGTCAGAACCAGGAACCTGACGGGGTTCAGACGGCTGCCTTACTGGGTGTCGTCGTAAGGCGTCCGGCAGATGCAGTACAGCTCCTCGCTGCTTTGTCCCTCCTGCCCACGTTTACAGTCGTTACACACAAAGTCCTCCAACTTCTTGGCTTCTTTTTCAGTGATTCCTACGCAGGCGCCGTGGAACCAGTTGGAGCAAAGGTCACAGCCGATGTAGAACCTGAGGGAGGAGAGAATTGCACTAAGATCTAAGATTCATCCAGCAATCGACAGAAGTGCTTCCAGAGCAGAAGAGGCGTCTGAAGCTTACTTAGACTCGTCGTACGGCGTTTTGCAGATACAGTACAGTTTGGTGTCCTTCTTATGATCCTTTGAGGTAGAAGACAGCTTCTTCTTCTTTTTCTTGTGTTTTAGTAACCCGGAATCTCGTTCCGGATCCCCGTCCCGATCCCCGTCTTTGTCTCGATCTCTCACCCGATGTCTGTCCCGCTCTCTGTCTTTCTCCCGTTCTCGGTCTTTGTCCCGGTCTCTGTGTCGCTCCCTGTCCTTCTCCCTGTCCCGTTTCTTGTTCTTCTCATGATGTCTGTCTCTGCTTTTGTCTTTGTCCCTCTCGTCCTCTCTCTTCCGTTTATGGGAGGAGGAGGTGGAAGAGTGGGAGCTGTGGGAGGAATGTGAGAGGTGCGAGGAGTGGGAGGAAGCGGCCTTGACCGTCGCTGCAGCGGCCTGAGTGATGGCGGCGCGGGATTTCTCCTTTTCTCTCTGCAGCCGGGCTAAATCCCGCCTCAGCTCCTCCTGAGAAGACAAAAGGAAATTTCAGAGCCTTGATTTCGTGCAGCGGTGGCTTTTCTTGAACTCGTCTATCTACCGAGATCTAACCTGAACTTGCAGCTGCAGCTCCTTGTCCAGCAGGGCTCTCTTTTTCAGGATTTCAGCCTTCAGCTGCTCCTTGTGCTTATACAACAGTGCGGTCAGCTTGGTGGCGTTCTGCTTGGAACGTTTCTGCTCCACCACTTCCTCCTTCTTTCGTTTCTTAGCTGCCTGCTTCTCATCCTTCTCAATCTTGTCCAGGATGAACTTCATCACCTGATTGCAAACAATCATCCTGAAGACAGAGAGAAAAAAGATTAGCTTGGACTCATGCATTTGGTTTGAATTTCCAAAGACTTCTACGTCCTTATTTCTACTGATGATCTTTAGTCTGAGCTGAAGAGAAGAGAGAGTCTGTGAGAGGATTCAGGATTCTGAAGAGATAGCACAAACATAAATGCTGAAAAACCTTTCCTCTATAAGCTCTATTCTTGTGAAACAAATCAGAGGAAATAAAACCACAGCTTCTGGATTTCCCCCTAAAAATGCATTCTGGGAGGAGATAATTTGTCCTTCAGGAAATTTTTTGTATATCTCCTTCGAAGGTGTCCTTAAAGCTTTAAAAAAAAAAGTGAATACACAGTGGCATCCAATTTTGCAGGGATGTAGGCATGGATGGGGGGGGGGGGGGGGGGTGGATCACCAACTGAGGTAGGACCAGACAGAGTTAAAGTGTTTAGGAAACAGAGTGGCCATCACAGACATAATTACCCGCCGCTAAAGTAAAGGACTCATTTTCCCCCGCTGATGTAAAGGGCAGGTTGTCCTCCTGCAGCAGTGTGTTGCAGTGAGCTTGTCACAGGTATGATGCAGATATTTGCTGATGAAGATTCTCAGTCATCCAGGTTATAGTCATTCCGTAAGAGTTCAAAAAATATCCACTAAACTTGGTTTCCAAGATTTGAAGACGTTTCGCCACCTCTCCAGGAAGCTTTCTCAATTCAAATGTCTGGATCCGCAGTGAGTTTGAGTCTTATATAGACAAAGCCTTGTATAAGACTCAAACTCACTGCGGATCCAGACATTTGAATTGAGAAAGCTTCCTGGAGAGGTGGCGAAACGTCTTCAAATCTTGGGAACCAAGTCCAGTGGATATTTTTTGAACTTCTGAGTATAAATCGGCTTTAAAGCAGAGCGCGATGTTTTCTGCTCCACCCAGAGACCATTGTTTCTTTCAGCAGCTAATCTGAAAGCTAAAACTAACAGCTTGTTCTAGCTTACGGTTAAAGATTCCTTCAATGTTTCACATGTTTATTTAAGAGCAAATTTGCTTTTATTTGTTTTTTCTTCTTCCAGCATGCTGCAGTTTTTATTACCTGCAGTTTCTTCCTGTTTATTTTGTTTATGACTGCAGTATTTTTGGGTTGCATCAGATTTTTCAGTGTTATAGAGTTTTGCTTTATTACTGTGTCTGCAGCTGTGTTGCAGCGATGCACTCTCATAACTTTTTAACTCACACTAAGCTTTCATGCATTACTCAGTGATTTCTTTCATTTTTTTCCTCTACGTTTCTGATTGTATCTATTCTTTTATTATTATAATAAACTTTTATAGTTTAATGTATAGTATAATGTCTTTTGTTTGTGGAATTCAAACAGCAGATAAATAAACAATGCAACTATTTTAAAAAAAAGTGCAGTTCATTATTTAAAATGTATAATACAGCAAGGAGGAAGAGGAAATTATTTAAAGTATCAATAGACACAAATTCTTGAATGTAAATAAATATGGGTTGTTTCTAATTTTAAGCTAAAATGAATCTCTTTTATAAAAACTGAGTTTGGAAATAACCAACCTCTGGTTTTCCTCCCGCTCTGCAGCAGCCTGCGTCTTCCGCTGCTTTAGTTGTTCTGCTGAAGCGTTTTGCTTTACTACCACCTAACGATAAAAAAATAAATAAAAAATCCACATTTACCTGCAACATATCTAGAATGCTGATGTTTTATATAAAGTGTTAATAACTGGAGTCTGACCGGTTTCTGAACGCCGTCTTTAGGAGTGATGACCTGCAGATTGGGCTCTTTGGCTTCCCTCTTAGGCTCACTTTGCTTCTTCTTCTTTAGTGGCTGTTGTAGCTGCTGCTGCTGCTGCTGCTGCTGCTGGATCCTCTGAAGCTGCTCTTGAATATTTGCTGGTGCTTGAATGGTCACCATGTTCTGGATCTGGTGGGCTTGAATCTGCCCCCCCGCCTGCTGGATCTGGATGGGCAGCTGCAGCTTGATCTGCTGGGGGACGGCGCCGCCCTGCTGCTGGGCCTGCGCCTGGATCTGAGCCTGGATCTGGGCAGCAACGTGAGGCGGCAGGGCGGAGAGCAGCTGGACGGGCTGCTGGAGGCCTGAAACCGTGATGAGCTGATGTCTGATTGGAGACTGGACCTGGAGCTGAGGCTGTGCTTGAACCTGAGGCTGGTTCTGAGGTTGGAACTGGACTTGGAGCTTTGCCTGGACCTGGCTGTGGGGCTGCACCTGCAGCGGTTGGGAGACCTGGGTTTGCTGCGGTGACTGAATGGAAAAGTGAGGCTGTGTTTGCAGCTGGGACTGAATGTGGGGATTCAGGGGAGTCTGAGGATGAATCTGGTTCTGCTGCTGGATCTGAACCTGGGGGAAGATCTGGGTTTGGACCTGGGGCTGCGGGTGAAGCGGAGTTTGGGTCTGAGGTTGTGTCTGAGGCTGGGACTGCTGCACCGGCTGACTTTGTGTTTGAAAGGAAGCTTGAACCTGGGGGTGGTACTGAGGTTGGGCTCTGGCCTGGAGCGGCGTGGGGGACTGGATCTGAGTGAGGGGCTGCACTTGGGGCTGAGGTGACTGTGGTGTCTGTGGTTGCGGTTGGAACTGAACTCTGATCTGGGGCTGGATGGGAGCCTGTGACGGCGGGTGGACCTGAGCCTGGATGTGCTGAACCTGTCCGGGTCTCACAGCGGATACGACGGAGGAAACCGGTATTCCCTTCATATTAACCTGCACCGCTGATGCGGCCACATGGGACACCTGCTGCATTGATACAATGGCAGGATGCTGGACCAGAACCTGTGAGTTTGGAGTCTGAGATGTCTGAGGCGAAGGCGCGACAGGAGAGTGGATGGAGACATTTGCAGGAGCGGAGGAAGGAACAAACGGCGCAGAGGGTGGTGTGACTGGAGTAGCAGCCTGCTGAACCGTCTGGACTGGAGCTTGAGAAATTGATGGAGTCCAGGTTTTGGTCTGAGCTGTCCTCTGTTCTATCAGAGCTGCAACAAAAAGAAGATGTTCAAAGTTAAGTTTCTTTCAAGAAAAACAATAAAATGATGCAGAGCTCATTTTACCTGGCACTGACGGGATGGTGGAGGTAGCTGTAACCGGCGTCACGACAGCGTTGGCCATGGCTGCATGAAGGGGCACAGAAGGTGCAGCCTGTATCTGGGTGGGGGCTTTAGCTGGGGAGGGCATGGAGACCTGGGTGGAGACGACGGCTATGACCGGAGTGGAGACGGGAGCGAGGGCCGGCGTTGGTATGGGGACGGGCGAAGGTAACGAGGCGGAAACAGGAATTTGGGTTGAGACCTGAGGAGCTGCTCTGGTGACCGCGGCAGGCCCTGGAGCAGAGGTCGGCATCAGGAGGTGGGTGGAGGTTAAGCCTGCGGGTACACAGGCGGACTGAGACTGGACCTGTGGGGCGGCGTGGCTCGCTACAGGAGGAGAAGTTTGGGTTTGTGCTGGGGGTGAGCCGGCTGTAAGGCCTTGTTTATAAATCACACCTGGGCTTAGGTTCTGTGTGGGGTCACTGACGGGCGTCGATGCTTGGGGCTGTGTGACTCGCGGTGGTGTGGCGGCTAACGCCTGTGTGGAAGGCTGTGCTAAAGAAGGCCCGGGTGAAGACATGGGTGACTGTGCAGGGATGGATGACGTGGCTGAAGCGTGTGTCTGTGGAGAAGCCTGGGCTGACGCAGCGAGCTGCGCAGCACTCATAGGAGACGGGACTTGGGTCTGAAGGGGAGCAGAACCAGGGCTGGGGGCACAGCTCGGCTTCACTGAGGGGTTTGCAGCGTGTATAGGGGCAGGAAGGGGGGCGGCCATTTGCGCTTGGGCTAAAGATGATGGCGTCGTCTGGACCTGGGCTACACCTCGCGCCTGAGGTGGCACGGGCATTTGGGTCAGAGGGCTCGGAGTGGTGGCGGGTTTTGCAGGGGAGGCGTTCACAGGGGCCGAGGTTGAAGGTGTTGATGATGGGATCACAGGAGTAAAGAGGAAGCGCTGGGTCTGTCCGTTGGGCATGACGGCCTGCATTAGCTGCTGACCGGGGCCGGGGATGACGGCGACGCCCTGTGGGATGATCTGGAGCTGGCCCTGGGTCTGGCCTTGACCCTGGATCACCACCGTCAGACCTGGGTTTCCTGCCTGCAGAACGTTTCATGTTAACAGAAATTATTCAGCCAGAATTAACATCTCTGTCTCGTTAGCCCTTCAGTTATGTTTCAAGAAATCAGAGCAGTCGTTACTTTGGAACCTAAGGGGTAAAATAACCGTCAATAAAAATGTATACTTAGACGTCTGAATATGTGAATAAAAGTCTAAAATGTTAATTAATGTAGGATTTGTATTTGCTTCTTAACTCAAAGATACTTGTGACCTCAGATCTTTTATCTTTGAGAATACAAGTTGAAAAGGTAAATGCATATTAGAAAATTATGAACAAAAGTACAAACTACCAATTTATGAATATAAATCATAAACTCACAAATATACAACATAAATTCGCAAATGTAAATCACAAATCTGTGTTGGAATCAGAAATTACTCATGGGAATCCCATACTTATGAGTAGGAAATTTAAGCGTCAGAATCACACTTTTTTGAGCAGGAATTCAAATTTATGACTAGCAATCCCAAATTTACAAATCCCAGATTCACAAGTATAAATAACTCTTTTACACATCGGAATCACTATTTCAAGAGTAGGAACACAAATTTCCACATCGAAATCCCACAGCTATGAGTCAGAATCCCAAACTTATGTGTCGGAATCAAAAATGCAAGAGTAGGAATCCCAAATTCACAAGTATAAATAACTCTTTTACTTTTCCAAATCATGAATTTAAGAGTAGGAATTACAAATTTCATGCATCGAAACAAATTTCCGTATCAGAATCACAAATTTATGATTAGGAATCCCAAATTCACAAGTACAAATAACTAATTGCAGTTAGAATCAATAATTTAAGATTATGAATCACAAATGTACATGTCAAAATCACAAATTTAGAGGTTGGAATCCCCAATTTACTAGTCTGATTTAGTGCTGGGCAATAAAACGGATTTTCACCATTACCGTCATTCACTATGATAACCAGCGACAATTTTCCCATGTCGGTAAAATAATTAAATTAATTCTGCAGTTTTTCTGTGTGCGTTGGTGGCTGGTATTCCCTTCCCCTTTAAGACACTCTAGCATGTGTGTAACCACATGACTCCACCGATCCAGTCAGAAGCGTAAACAAAGAGGATGGCGGATGAGCCCAGTGAAGAAGCATCTAAAATAGCGATAAACACAATTACATCAGTTAATCCCGTGGAGCCGAGGAAGAGCAGAGATGAAGCTGAGCCTGCATAAAATAAAGTTGAAAGCGCCTCGTCAGAGATCAGCGCACGGTAGACCAGTTTTGAGCGAGGGTATGCAAGTTTAAACGATGCACATTGTTCTCACTGCACGCTCAGTTCAGTGGCACCAAAATTACGCCATAGATGTTGAGCAAAAGAACCCGAAAACTGTCTGGACTACCTAAAGTAAAGGGCAGATTAGACTTCTGCAACTGCACACATCAAATATTGCTTGGGTCTGGTCACGAACCAGTTTTTCTTGGTATGCTTCTGCATCGCCGGTCTGGAATTTCTAGGGACGCACAGCAGTTTCCCGCCCAAGAGCAAGGGGGAGCCTATTTGAGAACTTGCGAGAACTTCGGCGGATGGCCACGAGACCTTGGCATCTTTATATAATTTGTCTGAGGCATCGTACAAGCGGTTGTACTTCCGAACCTCCTCGATTAACCTTTCATCTTAGTTGTCCGTTGTGGTTGTTCCTCGGCTTTTAAAAACGGTGTGCCCCGGCAGCGAATCGAGGAAGACCATACAGACAGCCGGAAAGGCATACCAAGGACCAATCACAGCTGCTTTTTGTCTGCACACTTCCGCTTGAGGTCTGCCTGGGTTTGCGACCGGCCGATGCGTAGTCAGGATTTTTTTAGGTATGCCTCTGTGCGGGGGGCGTGGTCGCGAGACAGATTTGACGGTTGCAGAGGCTATGCATCAGAAGCATAAATTTGCCTTAACACATCCAACCTCCAACACCTACAGCAAAGCTATGCTGTAGAGTTCAAAGATGTGCAAAAGGCTCCTTTGGGCCAAAATGTTTGCAAAAGAAGAAACATTTTTCTCTTCAATGAGACATTGTTGAATGTTTAAACCTGAATGATACAAGACTTTTATATTTAACTGAAACTAATATGTAATGTGATTTATTCAATAAATAAATTATAATCAGATCAGTTGCATTTCCTGCACATGCCTTTATTTCTGATAAAGGAGCTGGAGCATTTATCATTATCGAGGTAAATTTATCGTGATATAATTTGAGCTCATTATCACCCAGCTCCAGTCAGAATCATAAATGTATGTGTCAGTCATATATTTACATGTACAATACCCGATTCTTACTTTTATTGTTGAAAAGTTTTAACTTTCTAAGTTAAATTTTCATAGAGGTAGATCTAAATTCATGTGTGTCTATCAGGGTTTATACAGGAATGAGCATTAAATTTGAGCTAACTCAATTTAATGCTTTTTAATGCTCTTTTAACGCTCTTAGAAATAATTTTAATGCCACCAACAGGTACCCGTCGACAGGCTGCAGCCATGTCCAGAATTCCTCGTTTTCCAACCACTTTTGTTGAAATTTGCTTTTTTCCCCCCATTCTCTAGCTTTTTCTCCCCAGCTTCTTTTCTTATGATACATACAGCTTTGCGATCAACCGGAAGCAGTTCCACGCAAATATATCGTGATAAAATATGTCTGAAGAAATTGTTTTTCTAAACATTTTTTCTCATAAAGCATTTTAAATGCCACAATAAACACATTTAATGAATTTTAATGCCAATTAAGGCCTTAATTTCAACAATTATTTAATGACTTTTAATGATTTTTGATGACCCTTGGAAACCGTGTGTCTATGATATAACAAAGTAACACAAATATAAAATGGATTTACATTCTTGACTTCCACTTATAAATTCAGAGATTTATAAATTTTTTTTCAGTGACAGCTATTACCCTATATGAAACCAATCCAACACCTGTCCATGTGCAAAACAATGGACTTTGGATATTAGGAGAATCCTACGTCTCTGAGTAAGAGTTGTTAAAAAGGCACTAAATTACAGAAGTACACATTCATGTTTTCCATGTAGAAAGTGATCATAGTTGTTGGCTGTATGCCTGCAGGAAACATTTGCAATGAGACATCCTGCAAACGACAACTCAGAATCGTTGCACTGCATTTAAATGCGGGTTCATATAATCAATCTGAGAAACTACTAGCATACTTTCAGACAGACCGGAGAGAAAAGCAGCACCTGATGCGGTCCTCACCTGTGCGCTTTGTGTCAGCTGCATGAGCTGGGCCATGGTCAGTTTTACTTGGCCCTGCTGCGGTCTCGGGGCCTGCGACGATGCCACGGAGGGCTGCCCGGGAGTCGTGCCGGCGGCTCCGGAAGAGGAAGCCACACCGGCAGCTCTTGGAGCCGGAGCGGCAACGGGGGTGGCTGTGCCTGCAGGCTGCTGAGATGGACCTGGAATTCAAGGAAGATGGAGCATCCTTTTGAAGCAGCAGTAAATAATAATCTGCATTTTCTCCGTTTCTGTTGCAGTTTTGATCAGTTTGGTTTCTGTGGGGTTATTTTGCAGATACTCTGACTCTAGTCGTTTTCCTTGTTTTTGATGTTTCTTTGCTCGGCTTTCTAAATACGTTCTTGAACATTTTTGATTCAGAAACTCATTTGTTTCTAATCAGTTTGTTTAAGATTTATTTTAAAACTCTGAAGTTTATATGCTCACTATTTATGTCATGTGGTTTTGTCCACCCCCCACTACGACCCTTCATCTGCTACAGATAAACTGTCATCCATGCATGCATCCATATCTTTTTTATCAAAACACTTCAGAATATATTTATAGAAATAGTGCTTTGATGTTAGTTGCTGTATGATGATAAATTATATGTTGAAAAGCAAAAAATAAAAAATAATAATTATCTTAAAGAAGTGATATTTAATTTACCCAATGTGGATTAATAAAGGGATTGTCTATACATTTTCCCCCCTGATATTTAAGGGAAAACCAGCAGTTTGAGAAATCACCTTGGTGAACTGCGGCTGAATTTCGACCCATCGTTGAACCCGTAGAGACAGACGGAGAAGCCGTCTGGTTCCCTGATGCACCAGGTGGAGTCTGGCTCACAGTTGTAGTGGTCTAAAAAAAAAAAAAAAAAAAAAGACGACAAAAGATTTTTTTCTTTTTTTAATTACGCATTAAGACACTAATAAAACAAACGCATCAGATGAAGGACCTTCTGCTGGGAGCTGGAGGCTCTGAGGTTGAGATTCCCGGTGGTAGGATGTAAGGTGCTGTACGTCCGCAGGTTAGCAGGAGGGCCGGAGGGGAAAATGCTCAGAACCTTCTGCTGAACTACACCTGTTGAGGAGATCCATGTCAGTAAAAGAAATCTAAATAAATATATAAACACATGTATTTAAAAATCAGCATGCAGATTTCCATCAGTAGAAACAAACGAGGGGACGATAATAACCATGCTGAGGGTCGACAGACTGACGGCACGCCTCCCACTGGACAAGTTTCTAATCCATTTTGGCAAATGCAGCCCACAGATTTGCCAGAAAGGAGGACAATCATGCTCCCTACCTCCTTGAGTAGAAGGCACTTTGAGTGTGACAATCTTGCTGTTAGCGGGCAGTGGTAGTTTGGCGGCGAGGACGTGGCCGGCCACAGTCACTGGGCCGCCAGCGATCTGGAAGGTTTGCTCTGAGGTGGTGATGCTGCCGGCCGCGGAGGCTGCAAAACACACGCCACCTACAGTCACGTGTACCCAGAAGGGGCCTCAACAACTGTCCACTGTGAGCTCCAAGTCCATAAAAGGAGCAGGTTGATTTTTCTTAATAATTCAATATAAGCTCAGGATGGATAACATTTAGATTTCTGTTGGACTGAAAGTGGACACCATGAGCTTTAAAAGGCTTCTGTTATGATGTGGTTTAAGTTGTTTATATGGAATGGAATGAAGAGGTTGGCCGTAATAGGTGACACTGTTAGGCGATTCTGTCTCCAGTGAATAATTGTGAGACTGAAACACCTCCTTACCTGAGCTGCTGTTGTTCTGGCCCTGTTTCACCCAGGAAGCAAAGGACTGGTGGAAGTTCTTGTCCTGTTGGAATGGAACTGGGGAGCCCAGCTTGGAGGCCAACGCCATCTTGGCCCCCGATGTTATCTGACTCATCCTCTGGCCTGTGGTGGGAGCGCTGATTGCAGTGGTAGTGGTGGTGGTGGTGGAAGTAGTGGCAGTCGTATTCAGTTTTTGCTGCTCGAAACGTTTCTGTAAAGATTTTTTAACACATTTTTAACTCCGGTCAACTATTTTTCAGTGTTTTGGTTTAAATCTGCAGCTCTAACTGGTTTGTGTTTTCACCTGCTGGGCAGCAAGCCTGGCCTGCTTCAGCTGGTTCTCCAGGTGGGCCTTTACTTCCTCTGCCGTCTTCAGAGTCCCGCCGCTTTTGGACGGGTCTAAACCTTGTGACTTCTCTCTTTCAACTCTGCAAAGATTATCCATTTAAAAAAGCATTACTCAAAATAACATTTCCAGGCACAGAAGACAAAGGATGAGCGTTTTCCAACCTCTCTGCAAAGGCTTTTATTTCCCAAAGCTCCAGCTCCTCCTCAGGGACCCAGGTCTCCACGGCGACAGGCCCCGTCTGTTTGGCAGGTTCCTGCTTTTTAGGCCTCAGGGCACTCGATCGCAGACCTTTCCTCTGAGGGGTTGGAGTTTCTATTCACAAGAAGTTTCAAGTTAAAAGATTGCCACCAATCCTGTGACCGATCCAGATTATTCAGAATTCTCTACGACCTGAAACCATCTTACCTTTGGGGGTGTCCCTGTTTCCGATGGGGCAGATGATCTTCCGAATGCAGTATTCAGAGCGAATGCCATGCGGCTCGATGTCTCTCCGTCTGATAATCTCTGTTGTGATTATATCTGTGTCTGTAGTTTCTAGAAACACAAAGGTTCCTGATTTTAAGACATGCATCAGATGATAATCCTTTGTTTCATCCAAAAGAAGTCTTCATAGTTCAAACAAGTTATGTCTCATTACTAATTCTAACCAACCAGTCACTTCACCCAATCATTTAATTTAAAATGTCTTTTTTCATGACTTTGGATTAAAGTTGAGTTTCTGGAAACTCCACATGAGCCCAAAAACACACAAAGGATGAATGCATAGAAAAGAATCTCAGTCCGCATTCAAGTACGGTGGAGGTTCTAAAATGCTGTGGGCCTTATTCATCACAAAAGCCCTGCTGGAGTGCATGGTATAATGAAACCAATAGCTGCATTTCCATTACAAATGTGGGAAAAACTATGTTGATGTTCTGCTAACCTTGAAAAGGCAACTGCAGTATAGTACCATTAAATTTTTTTTTAATTAAAATTACATGCAATGTTTTTTTTATTTCTGTTTTGTTTTTTTTTAGCCGTTTACAGGACTAGCGGCTCATTTTTTGTAAAGTTGGCTGACAGGAAAGGAGGTAAGAGACAGCATGAAGCATGCAAGGACCACAGATCGGATTCAAACTCGGGTCAGCAAGGTCGAGGACTAAGGGTAGGGGCACATTTGCATTCACTGCGACACGCAGACGACCTGGTTTCTGAGTACAAAATCAGTACATGGGTTGAGTGCGCTAACCAATGCGCCACCGAAGCCCTACATGCAATGTTTTAACGTTTTTCCGCCTAGGGTAGTAAACATGTGACATATCCATATTTCAGCCACAGATCTAGAGTTCATTGTCGCAAACTAAATGAAACGAATAGTCTCCTCGTGAATCCAAATACGCTGCTCTGTCATCTTCTGCAACTTAAAGTCTTCTTCGTCCTTTTACAAGGCGCTAAGGTCCAGCTCCGGATTAAGTAGCTCTTGTGATGTGACTTGATCTGCGATTTTCATTATTATAATTTGATGGTTGATGGAAAAGCAGCTATTGATTCTAACGACAAGATGATGTTCCCAAACATACGGCCACATAAACACAGACTGATGCCTTGAACACAAATTCCTCCATGGCTGCATTAGCCAGTTAGCACACCCAGGGCTGACCTAATGATTGCCTAAAGGCAGACATACAATGTAGGAATTTTTTGCCCTTTCCAGGTCAGAATTTTTTGAACAGGCCGACTTTCAGGCTGATCATCCGTTGTGTAGTGTACAGGGGGTAACGAGGGCCGATCAGCCTCTTATCAACCACCTCCCGATCAGAAATCGTGATGTCGGGAGACAAACGGTTGAAATTCAGTCGGCCATCGTAAGGTGGTCGTGGGCAAATCACTCAGTGGGCAAACACGGATTCTTCTTCTTCCTCTCAGATGAAAACACAGAAGCATTTCAGGGGTGTGAGTGAAATAAGAGTTCTTTCTGTAAAATTGACATAGTAGTATTGACATAGCATAGTAGCCACGTTTGATCAGCCATGTCTTTGTCCAAATATGTTGTCGCCTTTTCTTTTTAGGGCTTTCAGCACACACAATTGCACATATTGCCAAAGCAGCGTGTTTCACTCTAGTGAGCTTCATATTTAACAGGAGGCATCAACACTTCTGTCTTCTTCCTATTCTACTGGTTTGGCTTCCGATTAGATGAGTCCGAGTAGCGCAATCTCACTGCGGAGCTGAATACGACCTGGTTTTCAGACGTACAGTGTGAGCAGGTAGATCGCATCAGAGCGAACATACATCGCAAGCTGAGAACTTTTAAACCCTGCAGTTTTGTCGTACAGTGTGAGCTGTAACTGCGTGCAATTGGAAAAAGCTGTACAGTGTATGCCCGGCTTGAAAGAAGAATCATCCATCCATCCATCCATCTTCCTCCGCTTATCCGGGGTCGGGTCGCGGGGGCAGCAGCTTAAGAAGGGAGGCCCAGACTTCCCTCTCCCCAGCCACTTCTTCCAGCTCTTCAGGAGGAACCCCAAGGCGTTCCCAGGCCAGCCGAGAAACATAGTCTCTCCAGCGTGTCCTGGGTCTTCCCCGGGGCCTCCTCCTGGTGGGACGTGCCCGGAACACCTCACCAGGGAGGCGTCCAGGAGGCATCCTAAACAGATGCCCAAGCCACCTCAACTGGCTCCTCTCGACGTGGAGGAGCAGCGGCTCTACTCCGAGTCCCTCCCGGATGACCGAGCTTCTCACCCTATCTCTAAGGGAGAGCCCAGCCACCCTACGGAGGAAACCCATTTCGGCCGCTTGTATCCGCGATCTCGTTCTTTCGGTCATGAGCCAGAGTTCATGACCATAGATGAGAGTAGGAACGTAGATCGACCGGTAAATCGAGGGCTTCGCTTTTTGACTCAGCTCTCTCTTCACCACGACGGACCGGTACAGCGCCCGCTTCACGGCAGACGCTGCACCAATCCGCCTGTCGACCTCCCGCTCCCTTCTTCCCTCATTCGTGAACAAGATCCCAAGATACTTAAACTCCTCCACTTGGGGCAGGACACCCCCCCTGACCCGGAGAAGGCACTCTACCCTTTTCCGGCTCAAGACCATGGCCTCGGATTTGGAGGCACTGATCCCCATCCCGGCCGCTTCACACTCGGCTGCGAACCGATCCAGCGAGAGCTGCAGATCACGACCTGATGAAGCCAATAGGACCACATCATCTGCAAAAAGCAGAGACGCAATCCTAAGGCCACCAAAACGGATCCCCTCAACACCTTGGCTGCGCCTAGAAATTCTGTCCATAAAGGTAATGAACAGAATCGGTGACAAAGGGCAGCCCTGGAAGAAGAATCAAGATTATATAAAGAGGAATGACCAGACATCCCTCCATCTGGATGTTCCAAACTTTTCAAAGATTATTGGAAAAAAATCAAGTGTGTTTAACATGGCTGCCAGGTGTTGAACCCTCCCCCCTTACCTTTCCGGGTCGTTCCAACCGCAGTAGAAGGCTTCACGGCCATGTCGTCCCACCTGAGGCAGGCCCACAGCAGCCTCAGCATCAAGCTAACGCCCGCCAGTGACCTCACAGTCTGAAGCCGGTATCTGAAAGAAATAGAAAAATAAGAAAAATGCGGTTATGTTTATGTAGACAAATTATTTTGCACAATCTACTGGTGTCACCAACCTCCATGAGATGCCGAAGGTGGGCCGAGGTGAAGGGTAGGGCCAGATATCGGGAGCAGGCTTGGCGTTGTAGCTGAAGATGGGGACCTCCCTGATGCCCGCCTTCCTCCCCAGCCTCTTCAGGTCGTCGTTTGGCAGCACGAAAATGCTCTTCTTGCTGCTCTTCGTCACAAATTTGCGATAGGACGGCAGCGCCGTTCCAGAGCGGGCTTTCTTGAATTTGGAGAAGCGCAGCAGGCTGACTCTGTCTCTGGTGGAATATTCTTTACTGATGGTCATGGAGCTGGCGGGGGCGATGGTTTTGCCATCACTGGGTTTCCTTCTCTGGGAGCCGGCTGCTGCTACGCCCGGCTGGGTGACGGCACCAGCGGCGCTATTGGAGGAAACTGAGCTGCTTTCTGCCTGCGAAGTTTGAGGAGTCTTAGTGAAACTGCTGGATTTGTCTTGCATAGAAGAATACGGAGGCTCTCTTGGGGAGATTTTAGTGACGGATGTCTTTACATCCTCATTAGAAGTGCAGTTGTCTGTAATATTACTATTGTGACAAGAAGTAGTGGACGATTCCATCTTTACAGGGAGGGGGGCCTCATGGTTTGTGGTTGGATGTTCCCTCTTATTCAGGGTCTCTACTCCCTCTTCAACGTGATTCTCTAACTTTGCGACTTTTAGAGGCGGTGGGTGCGTTACGTTGGATAAATCACTTCTCGAGAGGTTCCCATTCATTAAAGATTTAACAGGTTCTCTGTCCGGGTCCAAAGCGTCGCCATGGACCCTGGATTCAGAATCTGCAGTCGGGTTTTTCCCGTTAATCTGTGAAAGGCTGCTTTTGTCTTGGGTGGAATCCGCTCCTTCTAAACCCTTCTGATCGCTGCTCTGATCCATTTCTTCGTAGCTGCGTTTCTTGGGGTTGTCCCCCATCTTCTGTGGTTTATCTTTGTTTTCAGTCATCTCTGACAGATGATTATTTTTACTGTTGAGTTCTGGTTCTCCGTTCACTTCCTTATGGGAACAATCCTCCCCCTTGCTCCCATGTGTAGCGCTGACTTCAGATACATCCGCCTCAGATTTAACCTCTGTCTTTGTTTCCGTGATCTCCCCATCAAAGTTGAGCTTTTTAACCACAGGATCTTTCCCTTGGAAGTTGTCGTCCTTCTCTGTTTTCGGGGTCTCAGCAGCCTGCTGTTCGCTCGTCGCCGGGGCTTCCGCCGTCCCCCCAGCTGTGGGCTTTGTGGCTTTCATTTTGGACAGCAGGGCCGCCTGCCTCATCCGCTCCAGTCTCTGCTTCTCCTCCAGGGTGAACTGTTTGACCCGGCGCTCCAGCAGTCCGTCTAGTTTGGATGGCTTTACCTTTTTCTTGTACGCCGTCCGCAGCTGGAAGCCTTCGCTGACGTTCACCACATCGTAGAAGATTTTAGCTGGGATCTCCTCTTGTTTGGGTTCTCCTGGTATCTGGGTTGGTTCTTTTTCAGGAGGATGAACAGAATCTGGAGACGGACAATTCACTTTCACTTCATCTACAAAGGAAATGCAGAAATTAGCTGGTATATCAAACATAATCACAGATGGCGTCCAGAATGGGATTTTTACCTTTCTTGTCAGGGGCCTCTTGGTTGGAGTCGACATCCATTTTCTCCTCTCCTTTCTCTTCTCCAGCAGGTTTTGGATGCTCATCATTAACAGATTTTTCTTTCTCATTCTTGCTTTCATTAACCAAAGATGCATCCAGAGACGATGCAGAGTTTGGTCCCAGCTCCTTGTCCTCTGAGCTCTGACTGACCGGATTCTTGCTTTCCTTCAAATCCTCCACCTTAACAGAAGCTGCTTCATTTTTCTCTCTCAATTTGGCTGAAAAACAGGGAAAAACTCCATAATAACAAAGACAAAAAAGGATATTATGGAAAAACTTAGATGTTTGGACGGAACTGAAGCACTGAATCTTTGCGACAGTCAGGAGAACGATGAAAGTCGCCACTGGAACTTACCTTGGAGTTCTTTGCGGTAGTTTACGTTGGTGTTTCCCGGCAGCTTCGGAACAAAACGTGGAACATGCGTCTTGCTGACCCAGAGCCAACCACCGTATCCCGTTACTCTATACTCTTCCCCTTTCTGCTTCCATACCTTAAAAAAAAAAAAAAAAAAAAACTCTGTCAGGTTATAACCACAAATCACAGCGTGTTTTTTGGGGATTTTACATGATGGAGGTGAAGTAGCGAGATTTACTAATTTTCTGCAATCTTCGAACATAAAGGTATAGCGGAGGATGTACTTTTTCCATTCTGGTGATATGTTTACATAAGGCCGTCCTACGTGCTCGTCCCATTTTTTACGTACCGATGGGAGTCTGAAATTGCGGAAAAATTGCAAATCTTTTGGAAAGTGAGCTTGTATGAGTGATGCAAACAGCGACTTTTAAATTGAACGTGCACAAGAAATGGGATCCTGCATGCTCTCGCGCGCATAATAGGCGCTCCCTCTCAGGAGCTGGTACATGGTGGCGCATATGTATTATTTTTTTTTTAAGTGGAGAGGGCAGGTCTTTCCAAGAATTTACAAAAAATCCTCCACTATACCTTTAAGAGACAGTCCATCACTCCCGAAAAGTGATGAGCTGTCTCTGATAGCTGCAGTGGGTCCTTGGTAGAAGTAAGCCTAAGCATCAGTCTGCTGATATTTTGGACCAATATTAGTGTTGTTGTTTTTTTCCTGTTATCGGGCTTCATCCTATACATGCTGTGTTCACTGCTTCCTCCATTTTTCACCCATAGTTAATGTTCTGTTCTTTCTATGTTTAAATGTAACATTGTAACAATGTGACAACACTTCTATAACATTTGTCATCAACGTGTCCTTTTTATAATTTAAATGAAGAAGCCAGGCCAACAATTCTCTTTAAAGACCCCCCTTTTAGAGACAGACAGGTATGGAGGATTGCAGTCTAACAAAAGAAGCCAAACAACCCCCATTCCAAAGGGGTGGATCCATTCGTCTGTTCCAATTTGCATGATTTCTAGACAAAAACATGGCTTTGATGGGCTACTGTATAAAACCTCGAACTAAAAGCTATTCCTGACATTTTGAATTGAAAAAGCATCCTGGATGGGAAGCCAAACATCTTCAAACTTGGAAACGAAGTCCAGTGGAATTTTTTTTATTTTCTTTTTTTTTTGGATCACCAGATTAAATAAAGAAAGAAAAAGCTAAATCTGCTCCAAGAATCAGATTAAACAACGCCCCAATACAACATAAAATATGCAGCACTGATTTGGGATCTCTAGACTGATATCCAGTAGCTGGTATGACAGTTCTTTTTTTGTTTTTTTGTTCTCACATTATCATAAATCTATTTCGCATCATTCCATAATATTACAGATAATAAAACATTGTTTTATGTTTATTTTTCCTATTTTCTCCAAACTCTTTTTTCCCCTCTGGGGTTTTTTTTTTACTTCTACGGAAACAAACTTCGACTGAAACTGATATTCTTTGATTACGTAAATTAATCTTTTGAACATCAACGCTATCACAACAAATTAAGACAGGATTTTATTTTGTATTTAGTTAGCTCAAAAGAATAAAAAAAATATTTTTAATTAGTTCAATATTATATGTTTGTTTTTTAATGAGGATCTAATAAAAAAAAGAGCCTAGAAAACACCAATATAGTTATTTTCTTTTTGTTTTGAAACCATTAACAGATTTTCCCTGACCCTGCTGTAGCATCCCCTCAGCATAATTCTGCCACAGCCATGTTTACCAGTAGGAAATAAATGTCAGTTGAGAGTTCTGTGCTGCATTGATCATAAGCCACACACAGATGGAGAGAACAGTACTCCCTGAAAGGTTTGAGGCTTTGGATAAGGTTTAATATTCTGCAGTTTGTTCACAAATGTTCATTACTAATTTGTACCAAGGCCCAGACACAGAGACCATTCGGTCATTAGATGGCTTCTCAGGTGCATTGCATGAGACAAAGAAGGGTGAAAAACAAACTACCATACGTTTCAGTTGTTTTTGTTTCCAACAAAGGTAGAGAAAATGTATCTGTTACATTTCAACGACATTAAACTCTTAGTGTTGGACAGCGACAGCAAAACCTGATTAAAAAGACATTGAATGTATGTGAGGAAATGTGAGAATGTGCTTAAATTTCTTTGCAAACCAAACGTCTCCTGTTGTCCTACCTGGTGTTTGATGGGGATGGTGTATTTCACCCACGTGGCCTGCTGCAAAGTCTCCTCATCTTCCAGTTTTTTCTCACGCTTTCTCACCTTTTCCTTCTCATCTCGCTCCATTGAGGTCATCCGATGCATTCTGAAGCAAAAGCAAAAGAGGGAACAGGGTTTGGATATAAAAACGCTAACAGTGTTGATAAAGGAAACTGTATGATCATTAATGCTGGAAGGAGAAATGAGTCTGGAAACACAAAGCACATAAAGCTGAGCCTTGTTCCATGTTCACCTTGTGTGGCCGAGAGAATCTTTCCATACAGGCAGCATAACCACTGGTTTAATTGCACACTCCAGGATAGCCAAGGCCAAAGCAAACTCTCTGGCCTTGCTGCACATCTGCACTGCTTTGTTCCAGTTGGTCCTAAAACAAACAACCAACATCTTGTTGGGTTGCATAGAATACAGGGTAAGCCTTTTATCTTGCCGTCCAAATGAAAACCACTGTACCTGTGTGACGCCCAGTTGGGGTGCATGAACGGTCCGGGGATGCTGGTTTCCAGCTGGATTATAGTCAGGCGCAGCGTGGCCACCGTCAAACTCCGCGACCCGTGGATGGAGCCGTTCCATTTGAACTCCGACGCTGTGGTCAAGCTGAACTTGTGCGACAGGTGGCGTTTCTTGTCGTAGTCTTCCCGGTGCTGATGTTTGTTAAGTGCCAATGTGTTGGTGCTGTACTGGTTCTGGTACACCCTGTATTTACCCTCCTGACCCAGCTTGAAGAGGTTGTTTACGTTCACCGCCAGGTCCCTTTTCAAGAAGCTGAGATGTGGCGTGTCAGCAGCAAGAATTCCTCCAGGTGTCTGGAATACAGAAGAAACAAACATTAGGACCTTTTTAAAACAGGATAATCCAGATAATCCACAGCTGACTTTGAAAACAACAACATCTACATCCTTTTCTATTTTGCATCAAAAAGCTATAAATATAATTTAGATTCTCTTTCTACAATATTACACAATATAATTCAGAGAATTAGATTTATGGCGATAGAAAAGATAGAGAAATGCCAAATGTTCACTTTGCTAGCTGGAAATTCTGACATTTAAAAGCAGTGCCCCTCACCTCTTCACTGCGTCTCTTCGGTTCTTGTTCTGCTCCACTCCCCTTCTTATTCCTTTCATTATACTCCTCTGTCAGAGACCAGACGACGCCCCCATCATCAAAACAAGAACCATTTGAGACGGCGGTAATCAAATTTGAGCCAATATTTTATTTTCAAAATCGCAGCTTACCAGTCCCATCCTGGCTGGTAAAAGAGGACCGGGAGGACCTGTCCGCCAGGTCAGGAGGCTCCACCTGTTTAGGATCGTCAGGGGCAGAAACCCGGCTGCTGTCACTCGCTGCCGCCGGCTGATGGGATTCATCCTGGGTCTGTGACAATGACTTATCACCATCAGCGATATCACAAGCAGACTCTGACTTCGGGCGGCCATCTAAACCAAATCAATACAAAAAGTAAACTGTAAGGACAAATAAGGTTTCCTTAGAATTCAGTGACACTTAGGGATGATATAAAACCAAACATTTGGGAGGGCAAATAACTCAAACATGCAAACCATAGGAGACCGAGATGTGTTCAAGGAAATGAGAAAACAAAACCAAAAAACACCTAGAATATGAAATAACTTGGCAACAGACTAAATGCAAGCAATGAAAGCAAGACAAACACAGGCAGTTTAGCTAAGCTAATGCTGGAGCTGTCTGTCTAACCCAAGAGACCAAAAAAATAAATAAATAATGCATGGCGTTCCCCACGGTTCCATCTTTAGGCCCATCCAATTCAATATCTACTAGCTCCCCCTGAATGTTAATAAACAACATAATTATGCAGACAGCTGTACGTCAGAATGTCACCAGGTGAAATGAAGCCATTTAAGGGCTGGGTAAATGTCGAGGTCTCACAAAATATTCTTCAGCTGAATCAAAACAAAACTGAAGTAAGAGATTTTGGATTAAAAGTTAGAACACAGCTTTAGTTAATAAAGCTAGAAACCACCAATCAGGCTTAAATATCTGGGTGTAGTGATGAACTCAAGACAGACTAAAGACAGTAACAAACTCAGCCTTCTATCAACTTAAGAAAGTCTCCAGGAATAAAGGATTAATGTGTGAGCAGGACCTCATTTTTATGAATTGAGTTATAACTGCAGCGGCGTCTCACAGGTCTGCCTGAAACGTGGATCAGAAAGCTGCAAATGATCCAGAATGCTGCTGCCTGCATCCTCAAACTTAGAGCACATCACCCAGTGCTAAAGTCCTGCCACAGACTCCCTGTATGTCACAGAATAAGAGATTTTGAAATGCTTCTATTAGTTACTAAATGTCTGATTGATAGCACTATTACAGACTTGCTGCCAGTGGATCAACCACCCAGAGCTGTCAGGTCTTCTGGCTCTAATCTACTTTGCAAACCCTGAACAAGAACCTAACGTGCAGAAGCAGCATTTAGTTCTTAGGTTCCACTAACCACAAATAAACTCCCAGATAACTGAAAAAAAAATGCAGCAGTTATTTTAATTCAAGATTAAAAACCCATCTTCACATTAGTTTAAGTTTGTGTATTTTTTTCTTCCTTTTATCAACTTTATTTCTAATCATCTTGGATTGCACTTTTCCCAGTGTGTTTTTGCTATTATCTACACCACTTTGCAATGATCTTGTGAATTTCTAGCCACCAACTCCCTCTGGCTGCGTTCAAAGGCTGTAAATTAAATTCCCTGGTACCTTGTTTGCTTATAATATTTTTTTCTGTGTTTTATTTTGTTTTTGCTCAATTTGTTGGCAAACTTGGTCTGCTCTGAGTATTTACCTTAAGAAGACTATGTGACCTGTACAGTACTGCACAGGCACGTTTGAGTAAACAAGAGCATTTGCACAATAGAGGTTTGTAAAGACAAGGAGGAAAGTTTAGGATGAGTGCAAAAAAAACAAAAAAAACAACATCATGAGGGATAACAAGAGGGATAAAATGGAAATATATAAGCGTTGGTAAAAGCTACAGCTTCGAAAGCAGCCAACTTAATGGGTGTGTGAGTAAAAACTGCCAGCAGATGGCGACGATGTTCAGCACTGCTTGGGCCTGCTAATTACATTCAATGCATTTACTTAAAGATGTTTTGGGATAGCAGGAGCTGTCTCCATGAGAGAGCAGGAACCCAGCGTGATGGTGTCACCAAACGCCAGCGGTGGGGGGAAAGAGGCCATGCAGCTTGCCAGCAGGGGGTCAGACCTGGATTTTTTTTGCCAATGGGAAGGGAGCTAAATGTCGATTGTTAGCTGATGGACCCGTGTTTGAAAAACCTGCAGATTTCAGTGGAAGAGAGACTATAAAAATAAAAATAAAAGCTGATGGTCCAAATTTCAGCTTAATTGGCCTTAAAAAGTGAAAAGAAAGTAAAAAAGTCAAATATTTTAAAGAAATGTAGAACCAATCAGGCAGGTTTAGTCCTTTATAGAGGAGATTTGATTAATGCCCACATGCCCACCATGTTTCACTGATCTGCAGCTTTAAGTTTTTTCTGGGACAGACTTTCTCTCTGGACCAGAGTTCAGTTCTGGTCTAATTTGATCAAACAGTATCCAGTGTCATTTAGAAACATGCAGATTTATATAGTAATCTAAACAAAAGCAAACCCGCTGAACAACATGGTTAGACGCAAAGAGCAACCAAACACATCAAGATGGACGTAGAGTCAGGAAGCAGGGAATGAAGGGCAGTGTTGATGCTCATCTAAAGGTCACACAGGGGTCAAACAATGACTTGGGGGGGTACCTGTCTGTCCCTGCTCTGCCAGCTGAGGGGCAAAACCCTTCTCCTGGTTTCCAGGATGATCAGTTTCTGTTTCAGTGTTTGACTCAAGCGATTCAGTCTTAGTTGCAGCTGCATCCTGGGGGGCAGAGGCGGGTTTATCTGACACGCATCTCTCCTCTGAGGGAGGCTGAACGGCAGCTGCTGTGGTAGGACAGAGAGTGAACAGCACCAGCAGAGTCAGGGGGTCTATATAAAGACTAGGAAAGGATGGGAGTATATGTCCATACACCTTCACCCAAAACATGTTTGAAAAGGCAAACAGACCACATCTTTACCGCAGCACGATCATTTTTACCTTGTGAGCTGGCACCTTCCGTCAGCTCAGCATACTCTGGTTTGTTTTGTTGCGCTGAGGTATCGCCATCATCCCCAGCTGCGTTTAGAGAGCCCTGTTCTGCTTCCTTCTCTGTCTCTGCTGCTCGTTTCTTTGATTCCTCCAATTCTCGCCGGATCTTCAAACGCTCCACGGAAACCTCTACAAACAAAAGGAAGCAGCTAGTGTTAAACATAGTGGCTGTAACACTGAAGGCTGTTCATTTGAAGGGAGCTTTGAAATTCTGACCATAATAATAAACCTTTTTACCACATAAATGATTCCAGATGCCATTAAGGCTTTTATAGAAGGGTCATTATGTTGGATAAATCAAATCCATGTTTGTGGCCTAAAATAAAACCCTCTAAAAAACGATTTCACAGTTATGAGAGGGAAAACAAAACAGTCTTTGTAAGATTTTCAGGAAGATTAACGAATGGAAATGAAATTATATGTAAAATACAACTACAACCTCTACTGTCACTCTGTCCACATGTTAAGGCTTTGTTTTCTATTCTATTTCTATCTGAAATTTTATTTTTATTTAAACATTAAAGTTTTTTTTCTTGAATAAATTAAAAAGATATCTACAATGCTCTCCTTTTTTACAGACTGATAGAAACCCTGCTGAAGAATAACGGTTCAAATTTTAACTGACGCTTGGTGTTTTACGGTTTTAGATGATTATTTTATCCGCAACAATAGGGATGAAACAATTAATTGGATTAATCAATTAATGAAATAATCATCTACTAATGTAGTAATTGATTAATCATTAACTGGAGTGTAGAGACTAAAACAGGCTTTTAGCTGACAGAGCGACCCACTGAGAGTAGTAATTATACCAAAATTGTAAAAATTAAAAAACTTTTAATTTATTTCTAAAACTCCTAAAGTGGAAAAGGTTTTAATTTAATTTAAGTTTTCTTTAAGGAATCTTTAGCTATCAGATTATTAATCAAAAAAATAATTGACAGATGAATCGATTTGGAAAATAATCATAAACTGCAGCCCTAGGCAACGATTTAGGAATAAAAACTAACTTTTAATCCCTCAAGGAGAAACTTCAGTATTACAGCTTTTAGAAAGGCACCTGGCTGTTTTGATAATCCAGATTCAATGACAATTTGCACATTACAGATTGAAAGATTTTAATACACTACTATTTATTTCACTACTGTTTATGCTCTAAAAATATTCTAAATGACTTCGTTTCGAGTAAATTCTGGATGCTACCCACTCAGGACACTTGGAATACATTGGACGAGCAGTATGGAGGAATATTGACACGTTTTTTGTGGACTTTTATGGACCTTTCTGTCTCGGGCACCATAGACCTCCATTATTTGAATGTCAGCAGACAGCAAGAAGCCTCCCAGATCTCCAGATGCATTTGAGATATCAAAAAAGTACTCCAGAGTGTTGTTCAGCATGGGGGTGAGTAGAAAATGAAGGCTAATCATGTTTTGGGTGTACTATTCCTTTAACTAATTAAAACATTGAGAATTAATAGCAAACAACAGGAAGGGCAATAGATACTCCAAGTGACCTTAAGGCATAGCTTCTCAATGCTCTAATGAATCGGCGAAAGCATGCGCGTATTGGCCAATACTGATACAAAACACAACCGCAGTATTGTATTGGATTCATTAGTGGATTCAGTAGCCATATGTTAAGATCACGTGAAGAACAAGCATTGCTGCTCCCTCTATTTGCTATCCATGGTTTCTTTCTTTTTTTCCAGACGTGTAACATTTATTATCGCAGCGTCAATTTATGATGATAACGCTATAAGAATCACAAAAAATCTGCAGCACATATCTGGGATTGGTAGACTGATGTAAAGTTATCGGTATCAGCCTTTAAAAGATCTCTGTCGGTTTGAAATGTCCTCAAAGCAGGTGTCGCCTTTCAAGCGGGTTAATTTGACTTTCCTACTTCAATATGCTTCAGTTTAAACTGTTCTATGAGCAATTGTGTGCATTTGAAATAACGAGGATGTAGCCGTTAAAAGCAGCAAAAAGTCTCCCCAAGAACTGAAAGCTGGATTAGGCTGAACACAGAACTACATCAACATTTATATCCACTTCATTGAAACAAAGCGGAAAATGGAAAAACAGAAACTCAGAAAGACAAATACTGTCTTTAAATTATAGCTTAACATCTTTGTGTGTTAGAAATCACAAATGGTTTTTCATATTTTAAGTTTCTTTTTTATTCAGTGTAACAGCTTCCCTTTTTGTTGTGTTCTAAATATGTCTAGTTTACATAAAAAATTATGTCTAGTAAACATTTTTTTGTTTATTCAGTCAGTATTTTATATACCTAGTAGAATAATATGTACTATTTTTCTTTTTTAATTAAGCATATAGTAAAAATATATATTTAGCCCTTTGTGTTATAAAAAGATCCTCTTGGTAAAAGAAAAAATATATATATATTTTTTAAATAGCCATTTAATACATTTTTAGTCGATCTATAAGATCTATCAACCTAAGATTAAGTAATTAATCCTGCATTACTAAAAAACTGCACTTTGCTAGCAGGTTTACAACCAGAGCAGTGACCTATAATGTGTTATCAAAAGACTAAATAAGATACCAAATAATCATTATTAAATGGGTTTTATAGGCACAGAAATGTCTGATATTCTCAGAGTTTTACAGGATTTTACAAAGAAAATGGTTTTCTAACTGGATCCTGGTTTTCAGAAACTATATAAACTAATATGAACTAAATCCTTATCAGCTAAAACATGCAGTGACCAGGCAGAGTACTAGAAAACCTTGGATTTAAAAATGAATATTTATTCTTTCATTGGTGCAGACCTTATTGTAGATCAAGCTAAGAAGTCAACAACTGTGACTTAAGGGCTGGTTATTCTCCTGTGTCGCAGTGAGCTTGTCGCAGATATTTTAGATTTATGTCCAATTTGGAAGCGTGGTCTGCGCTATGATATTCCTTGCCACAACGCAAGAGGGACAATCAGGAACTAGCTGTGGATCTAGATTAGGCTTGTCCCGATCTGATACGTGGATCGGATCGGGACGCCGATATTGGCAAAAGAATGCGTATCGGCAAAGAATGTAAAAATGCCGATCCAGACTGCCGATCCAGTTAGAAGATAGCGGGGAAAATGTCAGCCGTGTGGGATTATTTTATCCTGCACGATGTGTAGATGGAGACTAGGTGTGGAGGAGATTGGGGAGTATAAGGCATTTTTGTGTAATAGTTCACTGTTATTTGCACTGATTTTTTTTTAGGCAGTGTCTTTTTTCAAGAGTAGAGTCCTGATTCTAAGTTAATAGAATATTTTCCACTCTTGTCTGTTTTGCATTTTTATTAAAACTTACAGTAATACTTGCACCTTTAACTGTTTACAGTTTTACTGTTCACTGTGCAATTTCAGATTGCTATTCATAATTTTGTCCAGTTTGTGTTTATCTCTTAATAAACAGGTAAGTTTGTTGTTACCAATCATTGTGTTTTATTCAATCTCACCTAATTCAGTTGGCTAGATGTTATCAAGAGTACTAAAACCCTTTTCAACATGAGTCTTACAACTAAGGCTAAATAACTTAAACTTAAATGCATGCTTGAATAGGCTGGTATCGGCCAGTATCGGTATCGGATCGGAAGTCCAAAAACAATATCGGTATCGGATCGGAAGTGCAAAAACCTGGATCGGGACATCTCTAATCTAGATACGGCCGAGGCGGTGAGGAAGTGGGGGAAGTTTGTGCGACAACGGAGAGACATGAGGGCGAAGAAGAGCAGGGATCCAGGTGGAAAAGGGTTCCCAGCGTTCTCACGCACCTTGCTCTTTTAGATGGATCATCTTCATGAGTCTTTTTCCACAGTGGCGGTCATACCAACAAAACAAGCCGGTAAGGTACCAAACAGCAAATACGTATAGTGTTGAGCAGATGTAGATTTGACCAATCAGAGGGCCTCCTGTCTGTGGTCACTAGGGCTGCAACTAACAATTATTTTAAAAATCTATGAATCGACCGATTATTTTTTCGATTAATCGATGAATCGGACAAAAAAATTTTTTTATATTAACCTCTTTATTCCAAAATAAACATTTTAGACAGAACAAACAAGCACACAAGTACAGGTTTCTCATTAACTGTACTGGTGCAATATGAAAAATAAATGTTTGTGTTAAAACTACGCAAACTTACATGAGAAATGTAGCTGTACATCCACAAAATATAGGCTACTTTGTTTCATAAAGCGCAAAAAAAGACAGGCATTTTTGTTTCTTAAAGCCCCTAAGGGGTTCAAACAATAGGCCCCCCCGTTCAACAAATGAGTTTTTTTTAGACTAGAAGAGTTCTGCCTTTTAAGACAGGAAAGTATAGCAGTTAAAGTTGCTGCTTGAGAAAATACTGAACCATAGAGATAAAAATAGCCCTGTGATTCAAATTACAAATTGTATTTGGAATAAAAATGAGAGAACTAGGGGTGCTAAAAAACACATCCTCCAAAGACAGATATTTACATGTGAATGTGGCAGATAATTAATTGACATATTACTGATCTTGCTGGATTTTATTCTGCTTTACTTCCATAAATTGCAGGATCTTCTTTTCTTTATCTTTGCCAGAAGATTTAAACATTAAAAGCCTTGCCCTCATAATTTGCAAGTTAATTTATTTATAAAGAAAATATAAACGCTGCTTAAGCTAATTTAAATGAAATTAAAAGTAAAATAAGTAGCCAACCTTATCACTGTCTGTAACCTACTAACAAGGTAAGGAAAGCATCAGATGAGCTACCTGAGAAACTAACTTACGTTTCCCCTCTTTAAAATGAAACAAACATGGTTACTCATCCTGCTGATCAGCTCTCTTCACTGCCATCGAGGCTCCAACGTGTTTTCTTTTCAGGTGCTGCGTCATAACAGTGGTGCTTCCGTGCCATTTTCATTTGTTTTTACAAAAGTTGCATGTTACGACTTTTTTCACTTTACAAAGCGCAGGCTATTTTAATTATTGTGATCAATTTGCGCCGTCAATCCAGGCGCATGCGCGCTTCATTTGCAGTCTGGACGCTGAGGGTAAACTCCTCACTAATATCCTGCGGCTCTGACTGCCGCGCTGAGAGTGATTCCTGTGGGAGAGGGAGAAAGGCGTTGGGATGGGGGAGGCGCCCCACGGCAGGCAAAAGCCGCCAGTGACACCGTAAAAAGTCGCCAGATTTGTCGCTAGTCGCTTTTTTGAAAAATAGTCGCTGGAGGGGTCTGAAAAGTCGCTGAGTTGGCAACACTGCAACTGTGGCGCTGACTCGCTCCGCCATTTTTTTTTTTCTTCCCCCGGTTGACGGCGGCGGCGGATGACGCATTAATCGCGCGACACAACTAATCAATGATTAAATTCGTTGCCAACGCTTTTAAAAGTCGATTTTTATCGATTTTATCGATTCGTTGTTGCAGCCCTAGTGGTCACCTACAGTTTTGGAGAGGTGCAGCAGAAGGGGAGGGGGCAAATCTGCATTCACTGGGACACACACGCGGACAACCTGGTTTCTGAGTATAAATCAGCCTTAAGAAAACAGTTTTCAATGTGAATACTGCCAGAAGTCTGCTGGAGCATGATTTAAACAAAAAAAAAACTAAGTGTCCAAGCATTCCTATAAATTTCCCTTTAAGTCAAAGGCTTACAGGAAACATTTATAACATAAGCAAACTTTTTTCAAACATCCAGCTTTGGACCTAACACCAACAGGCGCGCCCACAATAAAGCACAGCAGTGAGAGATCTCATTGATAAGAATATTTAAGCCGTGTAGTAACATGCAAAGGAAGTCTGGCTTAAAAAGGGAACGATAGGGCAACCAAAGAGGCCGAGAAAAAACGGAAACTACTGGCTAAGAACTGAAAGGTCTCCTAACCACCGCAGCTTCATGGAGGAAGGCTGCGTGGAAAACAGTTGCTTGATATGTCAGTGAACGTCAGGGAGAGAAGAGGGCAACACCCAACTGTCATCAAGCAGAAATCCTTCGCCTGAGGTAATAATTGTAATCTGAGGTGCAGAAAACACCTCTGAACCCCTGCACCACACACAGCTGTACTTTCCTTACACTTCCGAGATCACAGACGATCTAAAACAACTTAACTTTTCATCAGATGGAAAGCAGAACAGTGCATAGCTTTTAAGTTTTACAGGCGATGAGGACGGCTGGTGTCAGCACATACCATTGATGGCGGTGAGGTAGGCTTTACTGTTTCCACGAGCTTTGTTGGTAAGCTCCTCTGTGATGTCCATGTGAGCGTGCATTTCCTCCTTCATCTCCTCCAGGGTGGCGTGAAGATCGGTCTCCCAGTACGCCTTATCCAGACACTCCATGAGCTCCTCCAGCTGTGCTTTGCTGCTGTAGTACCAGATTTTTTTCTTCTCTTTTTCCCCATCTTCTTCACTGGGAAGAGAGGAAGTCACACGGCTAAAGCATCAAATGGAAAAAGGACTGTTTATGCAAACTATGAGTCGAATATTTAAAAATGACATCAACATTTTAAGCATCACGGCTGTGGTTCAACAGGATTTGGGTATGAGGAGGAATTCAGGAAAGACTCCCTACATCCCAGCAGGCCGGCCCTAGAGGTCACTTTATGGCAGTTTTCACATTTAAATGTAAAGCAGAAAAGGAAAAAAAAAAGTACATTTTGTATTTAAATACATGTTTTCTAATTGCTCTAAAAACTCAAACGGGTTAAAGGATGTTGTAGCACTGCAAGCTACAGCTTGAGGCAGTTTGATGATGCTCATCATTGTAGATCTAATACCTTCATGATATCCTGAGAAAAAGTCTCTTAAATCTGATTTCACAGGAAAATGGTAAATCACAAAAAGTACAAATGTGAAAGAAGATGCATAAAAAGCCTCGACATAAATCCTTTTTTTTAGCAAAGAAGTTTCTGTAATTTCAGAATTACATTTTGGAAAAACATCCTGATCTTTGAGAGCTTTTATATATTAGAGGAAGGGCATAAAATTGCGTATAAAAGACCACAAGCGGCAGAGCACAGCTGCCTTTTTGTCTGCTGTAAACCTCTTAGGGTTCTCCTATAAAAGTTCACCATGGTGGAAAACAGAGCTCCGGCTCTTTTCTTCAGATCAGCCAAAAGGTTTCATAATGAATTTTGTTCTGGGTGCTGCGATGGTCATACGTTATAGATTATGAGCTCCAAAGTATCCACAGTAGCTACGTTTACATGGACACAATCGGATTGAAGGCCTGATCAGATCAAAAATGTTTCATGTAAACATGTCAGACTGAAGATTCTAATCCGATTCGGTCCGATCGGAAATAAATTTAATTCCGAAAGAGAGAGGTACTTTTTGCCGATCGCCATTCTGATTGGCGTCCATGTAAACACCCATTCGGATCTTAAGAGTAAAATAATCTTCACCGCGCATGTGTGCGACGTCAGCGTGACGTTTTTCCGCCTTGTCAACAAAAGGAAACCACCGGTCGCTCTCGCTCTTGTTGTGAACAACATGGCGGGAGGAAAGTCGAAGTGGTCTGTCACCGACACATGTTTCTTGCTTGAAACCTTAAGGGAGCTCAACATAATTGAACGCCTTGATGGCAGAAAGTCTAGGAACGCCGACTTATACACTCAAGTTCATTTAAAGCTGCAGGAAGCAGGAATTGACAGAAGTATCGACCAGATAAAAAAATCGATGGAAGAGTTTGAAAGCGGCCTATTACAAAGCCAAAACTCAAAACTGCAAAAGTGGGTCTGACCCAGCCTGCTTTGAGTTCTATGATCAAATGGATGAAATGATGGGAAATAGGCCGTTGTCAAAAGCCGGTTTCTTCTTCTACTGCTAAAGTGGAAGTACACAGTTCTGCGCATGCTTAAAAGATTTAATCTGATCCAACGCTTGGTACATGTATACACACGTCATGATCGGATCATTTCATTTAGTGGAAATGGAGATTTTGAATTTCCGATCAACCAAGGTTTGGATCGGATCGGGGAAATTTTGCGCATGTAAACGTAGCCATTGAAGTGGTTGCAGACTGTGCTTAGAACGCAGGGGGCTCAGGTTTTCACACCGGTTGTAACAAGAGGGAGATCTGACGTAAAATTGATACGCCAATAATGATGACTTGGTGATACCTGAATATGGGAGCAACCAAGATGACTCCAGCCAACCTCAAGACATCTTTTCTTTACTTTACTGGCAGGGTTCATAACACCTTTTTCTAATGATGCCATATACATTAACAAGGTTCCCAGGGCCTTTTAAAAGACAAACAGGCCCATAGCATTACAGAACTTCCACCTTACTTAACAGTAAGCTTTTACAGTCGAAGGGTATCGGCTGTTCCAACAGTTGCATTTCCGAATTCCCCCGAGTGGCGCACAACTTTACATGAGTGAATAAAGTGAATGTGATTGGTCGCTTATCAGGGAAGCGGGATTGTTGTGGCGGAAGGTTCGCAAGTTTGACTGTGACCGGTGTCTCGGAAGCATCTTACTAACCTGGTAGCAACTTAGTGCTAGTAGGTTCCCAATGGGAAATTACATTTGGGACCAAGTAGCAATAATTTTGTGACTGAGAAACGACATTGTCAAGGAACGCTATGGACAGCGGAAACATGCAAGAGGAGGAGAGTTTTGTGTCAGAGGTCGTGGATGAGTCTCCTCCGTCATACATTTTTTATTTAGAGGAGGAAAGCAGGGATGAAGATGTTGTGGAAGAGGACTCCAGGGCGGCAGAAGCTTGGTTTGGTGTAGAAGGCTTACAGCCGTACATGTTTGAGCCCTTGCCTCGCAACGCTGCCAGTTCTGTTAACTCTACGCCTGCTGAAGACACAGACGTCCATCCCCATGAACACTGGGACGGAACTCAATGGGAAAGTAAATTATTCTTATTTCTTATTTAAACTGTTGCATCTATTAGCTGCGACATATGATTCAAGATGCTATGACCGAAAAATGTAATTGACACCCACAGATTTTACGACAGGATTTTTTTTAAATAGAAATTTTCTAACTTTTGGGCCAATATGGTCTGATAGAGTACATTTATATACATGTTTAACCCAGAATGATTTGACATTTAAATATGACTTCCCTACGACTTTAACTTGGTAGGATCCCTCCTAAACAATATCTCAGCCTGTAAATGGTGTCTAGTGGTTGCCACGGAGACCAAAAATACTATTTATTTTGTTTTCCAACAGCTAAGATGTGTGTGGGATGGTCCAACAATTATAGTTCTTCTAGCAAAGAAAGAAAAAAAAAGGTTAATTTAAAGGTTTTTCTCATCTTTACCGGTGAAACTGGCAACTTTGTACCTACTTTTATAAATTATTAAATGAAAATAAAATATATAAATGCAGCAAATGTTGAGTTCCTACAACACTACTTTATATCTGAGGAACTGGAACAAGGATAACCAGTGAATCCAATAGTACTTTTGTTCTTTTAAATTATTTTTTCAGTATTCTGCAGAGTTTTATGTCACTTTTTTCACATAGGTAAGGAAAGGATCCGTCTTTTTTTGGATATCAAACTGTTATGAGTCTACAGGATAAAAGAAGTTGCCCAAGAAGTTAAATAAGCAGCGATGAGCCTAACTCACATAATAATCCTTCGATTTAGGAACCAATATTTCCTCTGGTGGCGATCGTATCCGATGGGCTCCTGCCGGATGTAGGGCCTGTTTTTCTGCACCTCGGTCACACAGTCTGTGACTCCGGGCACCTTGTGAGCCACACAAACCTCACACTGCCACTCGTCCTCTGGAACCTCTTCCAGTGGTGGTTTAACACACTCCAGATGGTAGACAGCGGAACACGTCTCACAGCACAACAGGTCTCCCAGACGGTGACACACACGGCAGTGGTCATCGTACTGCATGCTGCCGTCAGACATCAGCTCCTCCCGGGCAATGTTTGTAGTTAGGAACTGGTCCACTAAGAACTGTAGCACCTTGATTTTGCTTTCCAGAGAACCACAGGGATATTCGTCCGTCTCTAGGTATGGCAGAACATGGTGGAACTCTCTGTCGCTTTCACAGTAAGCCCGTAAAACCTCAGGCCACGTCATACCATCGATAAAGTACAGAGTGGAGTTGACGCTGTCCTTAAGATCTGCAGGGCCAAAAGTAGTGTTGGAGGAGTCTTCCTCGCGCAGGATGGCCTTCAAAAGGGAGATATGAGTCTCTGCTATTAAGGTGCATTGCTCCTGGCCGCCCAATGCAGCGCAGAAGTCCTCAAAGCGGAAAGGGGAGAGACGCAGCACCGTGCTGAAGTTCCGCAGCACCTCGTAGATGGAGCTGATGTTGAGCACCTCCTCGCTGGGCACCAGGAGATCCTCAGAGGCCTCCGGGAGCTCGAGAGGGGGGATTTCCTTATCTTCGAGAACGGGAGTTCGAGGACGGGGTGCCCGTAACTTCTTCTTTCCTGCAGGATCAAACACACAGGTTTTTAGGAAGATTTTCAATATATAATAAACAAACAAAGGAATAACTAAATCATTCACTCAGCAGTTCTTATAAGTTATATTCTGTCATGTATGTGCATCCTTTGTGGTTAATAATGTATTTTTAATTGAATTAAATCATGTGCAAGGATAGTTTGCAGACTTTGAGCACTGAATGAGGCAGCCTCCTCCATACAGAGCACTGGTTGTCAAAATTAGCAAATATCATTAATGATGATTAAATCTTCACACTTTCACTTTAAATACTTTAAATGTAACTACTTTACAAAGTGAAGCTAATAAATAAACTTTCTATGGCAAACCAAAGCTGTTAAATTATTAAGAAATTGACAGACAAGCTAGCTAAGCTAACGCTGTTAGCCGTGTCTGTTTGTCTTTTTTATAGTTAAGTTAAACATAAAACATTTTAAGTTCTTGTTTCAAATTGCGGTTTTGTAAAGTATAAACTGGGCTCCGTTTGTTTTTAAACCAGTTGTTACACAGCAGGTTATGGAGCTACTTCCAATGCTAACATTAGCTTGTTTTAAGCTAAGTAGTTAGCTCCTGCTTGACAGCTAAAGCTACAGACCCCTTCAGGCTCTTTTGGAAATTAGTGTGTGAACTTAATGATCACACAAGGTGATGGAAACTAGTTGGACTGTTCTGGGCAGGTGATGTTTGGATCCACCTGCAGGGGCTTCAATGCGGCCTGTTTTCATAAAGTCTGCATTCTCCATTTTGAACAATAACCCCACAGCTTCCTGCACTGAACCCAAGCTTTAATTGCTGCACGCTCAATTTGCAGCACCCAGGGGTGAAGGTTTGGTCAGGGATGATTTACCTGGAGTGCTGGCATGAGTGCTGTGACTCCGAAAGCTACTCTCGGTGCAGAAACTGGCATCATCCTCTTCCTCGTCCAGTACATCTTCTTCCAGGCAATCGGAATCCTCTTTAAGGGCCTCATCCTCCTCGGACTGAGGTTCCTCCTCGACAAACTCGTCCTCCTCCGATCGTAAACTCACAGCATCGTCCTCTTCGTCGCTCTCGTGGTCATCGTACACCACTGTTTTGGGGCCAGCCGTCCGCCTTCCACCCCGACCACCTCTGCCTCCTCTCCCACCGCCGCCTCTGCCTCGTCCCCTGCCCCGTGTTGACGTTGCTTTCCTCTTTCTGCTCGGTTTAGGGGGCTCTCTGGTCGGGCTATCGGCGTCCTCATCCCCGCTGTCTCTAAACTTCGGCTTCAGGTTCCTCCTGGGTCGCAAACCCCTGGTTGTAGCTGGGGATGCTTCGTCGGTTTGTAGCGGTTTGGGCGGCCTGCCCCTTTTCCCTCTCATGATAGGCGATATCTATTATTTTACAATCCAGAGGTTTGCGTGCAAACGGCATAAACGCAAATGCGAGCGAAAAAGGTGGCCCTAGAGAGCTGAACAGAGCTGGTCCCCCCAAAAAATAACGCAGCACCTTGAAGCCCCCAGCGTCCCTTCGAATCTGAAAGCTCAAAACGTTAGCCCGGCGTCCCGTTCAGGCTCGCCCAGGGCCGCCATTTTTCTTCTCTGCCTCTCTCTGGCTGAACAAACAGCAGGGCCTCACTACACGGGTCACGTGGGAATGCTGCTTCTTCCTCAGTGGCAAAAATGTCACAGCGACTAAAATATTCTCACGTTTTCTTCTGTATTTACATCATCGGTGGTGTTTAAGCGTTTAGTTTATGGGTTTTAATTACGGAAGAGGATTAGGGGCTTTTATTTCAGTTTAATATAGTAAAAAGTCAGAATTCTTCTGAGATTAAAGTCCGAATTCTGATTTTAATCTCAGATTTCTGACTTTTTTCTCAGATTTCTGACTTTTTTCTCAGAATTCAGACTTTAATCTCAGAATTCAGACTTTTTTCTCTCAGTATTCAGAATTTAATCTCAGAATTCAGACTTTTTTTCTCAGTATTCAGACTTTAATCTCAGATTTTTGAGAATAAAGTCCACAGTGGGTAGCACTGCTGCCTTGCAGCAAGAAGGTTCAGGGTTCGATTCCTGGCCCGGGGTCTTTCTGCATGGAGTTTGCATGTTCTCCCTGAGCATGCGTGGGTTCTCTCCGGGTACTCCGGCTTCCTCCCACAGTCCAAAAACATGAATTGGCTTCTCTAGATTCTTCTTAAGTGTGAGTGTGTCAGTGAATGGTTGTTTGTCCTGTTTGTCTCTGTGTTGCCCTGAGATGGACTGGCAACCTGTCTAGGGTGTACCCCGCCTCTCACCCATTGACTGCTGGAGATAGGCACCAGCACCCCTTGCGACCCCAATTGGGACAAGCGTGTCAGATAATGGATGGATCTCAGATTTCTGACTTTAATCTCAGAATTCAGACTTTAATCTCAGAATTTAGACTTTTTTCCTCAGTATTCGGACTTCTTTCTTAGTATTCAGACTTTAATCTCACAATTCTGATTTTAATCTCAGATTTCAGAGATTAAAGTCCGCACTGGGTAGCACTGCTGCCTTGCAGCAAGAAGGTTCTGGGTTCGATTCCCGGCCCGGGGTCTTTCTGCATGTAGTTTGCTTGTTCTCCCTGAGCATGCGTGGGTTCTCTCCGGGTACTCTGGCTTCCTCCCACAGTCCAACAACATGACTGTTAGGTTAATTGGCTTCTCTAGATTCTCCTTATGTGTGAGTGTGTGTGTGAATGGTTGTTTATCCTGGTTGTCCTGCGATGGATTGGGGACCTGTCCAGGATGTACCCCACCTCTCGACCATTTACAGCTGGAGATAGGCACCAGCACCCCTCGTGACCCCAATTGGGACAAGATGGATGGATCTCAGATTTCTGCCTTTTTCTCAGAATTCTGACTTTAATCTCAGTATTCTGACCTCTTTCTCAGTATTCGGACTTTAATCTCAAAATTCGAACTTTAATCTCAGAATTCGGACTTTAATCTCAGAATTCAGACTTTTTTTCTCAGAATTCAGATTTTAATCTCAGAATTCTGACTTTAATCTCAGAATTCAGACTTTTTTTCTCAGAATTCAGATTTTAATATCAGAATTCTGACTTTTTTCTCATCATTCAGACTTCTTTCTCAGTATTCGGACTTTAATCCCAGAATTCTGACTTTCATCTCAGAATTCTGACTTTCATCTCTGAATTCTGACTTTCAACTCTGAATTCTGACTTTCATCTCAGTATACAGACTTTTTTCTCAGTATTCGGACATTAATCTCAGAATTTAGACTTTAATCTCAGAATTCAGATGGCTAATGCCACAACAGTCCTAGAAGTTACTGGTAACCATTATTGTTTTTTATATCAGTGTTAGTATTGAGGTCTGTTTCTTATTTACTTTCTTTCATTGTCCAATAAAATGGACTGCTTAACAACATAGTATAAGGAAAGTCGACCATCCATCCATCCATCCATCCATCCATCCATCCATCCATCCATCCATCCATCCATCCATCCATCCATCCATTATCTTGTGCTTGCATTTCCTGCATTGGATCCAGATCTAAAACTGACTCCCAGATTACCTGGTGAAATAAGAGCATCTATCATATTTTTTGTGCTTCCAGTGCTCCCTTCCAAAGATAGGCACCCAAGAGGCAGTCTGATCATTCTAACAACTTGTGTCACGATATTTTGATTATGATCCTTCTTACCATCATAGACAAACATGTTGATTTGTTTTGCTTTTCAGAAGCAACATCTGTATTAAAGTAGTTAAGATTCAGATCTTTCTATGCAGCCTTTTCCCAATCTCTTGTGTCCAAGACACCAAACAGCAGCCAGAGAAGAGCTGACTCTCTTCCCCCTGGTTCACACTAAGCTGGGAACTGATCCAGTACATGACAAGTTCATTGGTTGAAGTTGAATACTCAGATTGTTTTCAATCTGGCCAAAATCGTTTTCACAAGCAAGCAATTTGACTTCTCACATCATACAGTCATGAAGTATACTGTAGATTTAATTTGTCAACAAACCTTGCTAGTTCCAGGTTGCTATGCTACAGCCCATAAACATTAAAGTTTCACATATTAGAATGGAATTTTTTGCATCACCTCTGTGCAAAATCAGCTTTGTATTCTCAAATCAATAAGTCATTTTTGTTCCTAAAATGCCAATACTTGCACTTTTTCCAAACAATTTTCTTTGGAATGCATCTTTGTCCACAAAATACCAAAAGATCAACTGCTTCTCAAATGACTTGACGTCTTGGTCGATGATGACCAGCAATCTGGCACCACAAAATGCCGCCATCAAATTCATTTAAATGTGACCTTCTCCCATTTTTGGATATAATTTGCCATTTATAGCATTTGAATAAATGCTTATGTGAGTTCATATTTTTTTAATGAAAGTAGTGAGGCTCTGGAAGTAAATATTTAGGGTAATTGAAACCATAGTTGTAGTTTAAGTAATTTCACATGAACGCAAATCTTCATCACTGATATTTGATCAAAAAATTAAAAAGCTTTGAAAAGACAAATTTGTTATTTATAATTAGCATAATTGAGATAATGACAGGAACTATTTAATCACAGATTTTACATAGTCAACGCAACCATAGACATACATGTAAGAGTAGACCCCACATTGACTGTTGCGGCACAGAATTTACGGGCGCCTTATTGGGGGGATCAAATGCGACCCTAACCAGCTTTTTAGAGAAGAAGGATACCTCAGCACTATGCGACTTATTGTTGTATGAATCAATGGAGTGTTGACATCAGGGCTTAAGGGATAATTTTGTGAAGGCATCAGAGCTTTGAAAGACATTACTGTTTAAGCAGCATATACAGTACACATACACACACACATATGTATATATATAAACATATATATATATATATGTGGAGAGAGAGTATATGTATATATATATATATATATATATATACACACATATGTGTGTGTATGCATATATATAGAATGTACTGTATATATGTGTATAGTAATAAAAACATTTCTAAAAATGGATAAGTGGCTGAGCAACATATAAACATCCTAACAGAATATTCTATTCTCTTAACTTTGTTTTCAGCAAAAAAAAAACCCAAAAAACTTTACTTTAAAATGTACTCTAAATTTTAAAGTAAATAAAAAAAGTAAAGTAAAACTTGAAAATTACAGCGAGTTTAAGTTGATTAAAATTGATTCTGTGCCTCCTTAACACATCACACTGACCGCCCCAAGATGGCGCCATATAATCAAGTCAGCGCCCATAGGCGTGAGCCTACGACTACGACGGAGTATTAGGGCCACACATGAAGAGAAAAAATATTTTTGCCATGACGAGATTAAACTCGACATGTCGACTTTAAACTCGCCCTGTCGACTTTAAACTCGCCATTTCGAGAATAAAGTTGAAATGACTGACATGTTCTCAAATTCAGAACTGCGAGCCTGGGTAAGCATAGGGAAAGACGTTACGTTATTATTGGTAGGCCACCGCTTCCTGTGATGATTATACAGTTGCAGCACGTCAAAGACTACCTTCACTCATAAAAAGCAGACTGCAGATGTGGAGCGCGGTTGCTCTTTTCTCCAAACTTTGGAATGTCGAGATTGAAGTCGCCACGATATATCAACTTTATTCTCGAAATGGCGAGTTTAAAGTCGACAGGGCGAGTTTAAAGTCGACACGTAGAGATTAAACTCAACATGACATTTCAACTTTATTCTCGAAATGTTGAGTTTAATGTCGACATGTCGACTTTAAAGTTGACATGTCGAGTTTAATCTCGTCATGGCAAAAATATTTTTTCTCTTCATGTGTGGCCCTAATACTCCGTCGTATACGACGGCCACACATGAAGAGAAAAAATATTTTTGCCATGACAAGATTAAACTCGACGTGTCGACTTTAAACTCGCCATTTCGAGAATAAAGTTGATATATCGTGGCGACTTTAATCTCGACATTCCAAAGTTTGGAGAAAAGAGCAACCGCGCTCCACAGCTGCAGTCTGCGTTTTAAGAGTGAAGGTAGTCTTTGACGTGCTGCAACTGTATAGGATTCTGTGCATGTATCCTGTGCAGCGGTTGGCTCTCTTGAACTAATTTAAACTTTATTGTCGACACGTCGAGATTAAACTCAACATGACATTTCAACTTTATTCTCGAAATGGCGAGTTTAAAGTCGACAGGGCGAGATTAAACTCAACATGACATTTTAACTTTATTCTCGAAATGTTGAGTTTAATCTCGTCATGGCAAAAATATTTTTTCTCTTCATGTATGGCCCTAATACTCCGTCGTACGTGAGCCATCGATGCGTGGTATAATTTTCGCAACCGCTCTGTTGGACCTTAATAAATGTCGCGAAGCAAAAGGGGTGGTAGCCAAATTATCACGTGACGGCACATCCTGACCACGTGTTCCAAAACGGTCACGTCTTACAGTGATGCATGTGTTGTCGTGGCCGAGTGGTTAAGGCGATGGACTAGAAATCCATTGGGGTCTCCCCGCGCAGGTTCGAATCCTGCCGACAACGAATCATTTAATCATTTTTTTTTCAGGAGTCTATAGTAGCGCTGATTACAGGATGGGAAATGTACAGTAATAGTATCGCATTGAACTCCATAATTTTATCAAGTTATTTTCTAAAATC